GACTCGTTTTCTTCAAGCCTTGCCGTTCTTGCTACACTTTAATTGGAAACAGAAAATAAAAATCTTATTTTTTTACTTCCATAACCTTTTAATCAATCATTCACATCATTATCATAATTAAAATTAAAATTATATCCGGAAAAACAATTTATTCCAGAACGAAAAATTGTTTCAGTCGTGCCACTTTACTTTTAATATCTTAAAAAGTTTACTTTAAAATTCTGGTCAACAAGATTCATATTCAGAGATATTTTATCCTTTTATCTAATCTTCTACCAACAATTTCTACTTTTTTACCAACAGTATTCGATTTAAATCGGCCGTGCAACCCTTCGTACTAGTATTTGACTTTCTGCCAACAGTATATGGTCTTCTGCCAACAGTATCTATTACTCTATCCGCAGTATAAAGTATTCTACAAGCAGCATACAGTCTTCTATAGGCAGTATCTAGTCTTCTAACATTTCTTTTAATATTGAAACATTTATTTTTCTTCTGGCTGTATCTGGAGTTCTACCTACAGTTGCTAGTCCTTTATTAACAGTGTTTAATCTTCTGCAAGCACTACCGAGTGTTCTGCCAGCAATATAAAGCTTCCCTAAACAATAAATAATCTTTTATAAGCAATATCTAGTGTTATATTGGCACTATCTGGTCCTTTACCAACCATCTCCTCCAGTATCTAGTCTCCTATACTGCTCATGATAGTGTCTGTACCAAGTGATCTATGTTGTAGAAACGTGAAAATAATTATTCTCAAAATGACAGTAGAAGTTGCTGTGGAAAATCTACAACAAAAATTCAAAACCCGAACGAAACACATTTCCAAGACACTTACTTAAGTTAGAAAGAGAGATTTAACATTTTTAAAGTTAAAAATTATTTGTAATTATTAATGACTCATAAAAAAGTTTTAATACACTTTTTCAAGTAATTTAAAACCGGAAATAAGGGTGGTTCTTCAAAACCTTTTAACACACGTGTTACTTCCTGACTTTGTCAACAGCATTTTACGTCAAGTACATTTCCTTCCTTTCTTTTCTTTTCTAAAACAACTTTTAAAGTGGTAGTGACTCAATGGAAATTCAAATTAAAATAAAACGTCGTTTGTGTCATCAATTATAGTGGGAATCCTTGATAGATCCTCGATAAGGCGACACTTTATCTATTTTTTTTTCTTTCTTTTTAATCGTTGTTCTGTGGTGTTGTATTTAGCATATTCGCTGTGCGTTGCATAAACAAACAATTAGTTTAATTACGAATTCAGGTCTACATATACAATGCAAAAAGCCTCGGTAGAACGATAAAGATCGCTAAAAGCCACCACCATCGAGCTTATAAATAAAATTTGTGTTTATTTGTGAGCCTAAAAAATGTTTTCGAAAATAGTTTATTATTATGATAAAGCGAAACATTTTATTTATTGCTTTTTCATGTTTAATATTGTTAAGATATCGATAACACGTTAATTTGAAATGTAAATTAAGCCTTAATCTTAATCTTTTTATAGAAATGATTTATATAACGAATTTTTTTACAAATCACTTCAGTTTTAAACAAAAATAAAATAAAGATAAACCCCCTTTTCCTATCTTTGAACCGCAATCGTAGTCGTTATCTTGATGCATGGCTTTTCCGCATCGTTTTCCAACTGATAACGAAAACCGAGCAGGGCGTGGGGAAAAGGGAAGGGCTTATTTTTGTACAGAGTTCCTTTCCTGGCTTATCGTTTCGAAAGCTTATCCTCCTCTGCCCCTCCTTTTTGGTTGCGCGATAAACAATCATTTATAGCAGGGCGAATGGCTAAAATTTGCCAAAATTAAAAAAAAAAGTTGAAAATTAAAATCGTTAGTGATCGCGATAAAAATTAAACCCGTTCGACGGCGGCGCGAAAAAAAATTTGCATCGACCACAAGGTCGGATGCGGCGCGAATTTTGCGCCGTGTTGCAAATTGCTTCCGGTTAGATGAAGCGAACCGATAATATACACCGAAAAGAATAATTAGCGGCCATAAACACCATACAGAGTTGGCAAATAGTCAAGCTGTGTGTTATGTATTTATTAACAAAAGTTTTTTTTTGTTAGAAGGCCAACTTCTGGAATAAGAGCCTTCCTTAAAATTGTTAAGTTTATTTTCATGAAGACATTTTTCATCAACATATCTTAAAAATTCTCAGAAATCGATAACTACAAAATCATAAAATTTCTGGTTGTGTTCAAAAATTATTATCTCAAAAACAAAAAGGAACTTGAAAAAGCGGTTTTGATCATAACAAACTACACACTTTTCTGTATAACCCGTAAATGTTTCATCAAGGTGTGATAAGAATTCAATGTTTTACATCCTTTAAAAAACAATGAGAAAAAAATTTCATCTTTTTCATGTAATAAAAATTTAAAAATTGTTATCTCAAAAACGAATAGTGATTTTCAAATGCGACTTCATTCATGAAAAAGTACATACCTTCTTCTATAAATAGCGAATATTTCGTGAAGATATCTTAATGATTCGATTTTTCGCGATTTTTAAAAAATGATAGTCAAAAATTCATGATTAACTTCATAAAGTCATAAAAATTAAGATCGATCTCAAAGACGAAAAGAGATTTTCAAATACCGTTTGGTTCATGAAATAGTACGCATTTTCTTCTATAAATAGCGAATATTTCATAAAAATATCTTAAGAGTTAGATTTTTCGCGATTTTTTAAAGATGATTGTAGAAAATTATTAATTTCATAAAGTCATAAAAATTAGAATCGATCTCAAAGACGAAAAAAGATTTTCAAATACGGTTTAATCCATGAAATAGTACACATTTTCTACTATAAATAGCGAACATTTCATGAAGATATCTTAAGAATTAGATTTTTCGCGATGTTTGTAGAAAATTGTTAACTTCATAAAGTCGTACAAATCGGGTTGGTTTCAAAACGTACTATCTCAAAGACGAATAGAGATTTTCAAATGCGGTTTGGTTTATGAAAAAGGACATATCTTCCTCTACAATCTCCAAATATTTCATCAAAATATCTTAAGAATACGATTTTTTGCGATTTTTTTAAAATGATTGTCGAAAATTGCTGATTTCATAAAGTCGTAAAATTCGGGTTGATTTCAAAAACTATTATCTCAAAAACGAATAGAGATTTTCAAATGCGGTGTGATTCACCAGAAAGCACATATCTTCCTCTACAATCTCCAAATATTTCATCATGGTATCTTAAGAATTCGATTTTTCACGATTTTTTAAAGACGATTGTCGAGAATTGTAACTTCATAAAGTCATAGTAATTAGGGTTGATTTCAAAAATTATTATCTCAAAGACGAATAGAGATTTTCAAATACGGTTTGGCCCATGAAAGAGTACATATCTTCTTTTATAAATTACGAACATTTCATCATTCAATTTTTTAAAGACGATTGTCGAGAATTGTAACTTCATAAAGTCATAGTAATGGGGTTGATTTTAAAAATTATTACCTCAAAGACGAATAGAGATTTTCAAATACAGTTTGGCCCATGAAAAAGTACGTATCTTCTTCTATAAATTGCGAACATTTTACCAAGATATCATAAGAATTCGATTTTTTGCGATTTTTTAAAATGATTGTCGAAAATTGTTGATTTCATAAAGTCGTAAAATTCGGGTTGATTTCAAAAATTATTATTTCAAAGACGAATAGATATTTTCCAATGCGGTTTGATTCATGAAAAAGTACATATTTTCTTCTACAATCTCCAAATATTTCATCAAAATATCTTAAGAATTCGATTTTTTATGATTTTTTAAAGAAAATTGTCGAAAATGATTAACTCCATAATGTTATAAAAAATAGGGTTGATTTCAAAAATTATTATCTCATAAACGAATAGAGACTTTCAAATGCGGTTTGGTTTATGAAAAAGTACATATCTTCTTTTATAAATTGCGAACATTTTACCAAGATATCTTAGGAATTCGATTTTTTGCGATTTTTTAAAGATGATTGTCAAAAATTGTTGACTTCATAAAATCGTAAAATTCGGGTTGATTCCAAAAATTATTATCTCAAAGATGAATAGAGATTTTCAAATGCATGAAAAAGTACATGCTTTTCTCAATAAACTAACATTTCATCAAAATATCTAAAGAATTCGATTTTTCACGATTTTTTAAAAAACGATGGAGCCACACAAATTTAAAAATTATTAACTTATAAACGAACAAAACCTTACTATCACTAAATAATGATACCTTGATTATACGCCATCTTCAATTATGTGAAATAACTTTAGCGTTTCGCTTGATAATCTAATAAATACCTGAAATATTATTGTTTTGACATTGAGTTTCATTGGCAAGAATTTTCTCTGGGATTTTTGGAATTTCTCCACTTATTCTTTTGAAGAAAAACCTTTAACCTTTAATTTAAGATACATTTTCATAATCTATCTCTTATCGATATAACGCTTTTTAAAAATACAGAGTAGGGTTTATCAACGTTAATTTTTTTGTTCAAATTGCGCGCGGTTTTTCGTAAACGATAACGTTCCAGACGATAAGGTTTGGTACAAAGATTACCATTTTAAATTACTAAAAGGCCGATAGGTTTACCGATTACAAACCGGGTTTATCGTTCCGAGTTTATTGTTAAAACCGTATGATAATTTTGCAAAATATCGCCGATTGTTAAATATCGAGATTAATCCGAAACTTTGTTTTATTTCCCAATCAGGGTTTTATTTTTCTGGCAAACAGATAAAAGCGATAATATTTTCGAAACAATATTCAAAAGTGATTTAAAAGTTATCTTTATCTTGGGTTATGATAAGAAATGATTTTCGTTATCGCTATCGTTAAAATTATTTTGACTGCGGTTATCTAAATTACAGTTGAAATTAGTATACTACAGAAACAAATCTTAATTCTACATTAGTGTATCTTTGTTGTAATTATTTTAAAATAACAATTTTTTTAGGGGTTTGAAAGCTTAAAAAGCACAGATAAAACACCTACTTTTAAGCGGCTTAGGGTTGCTCTGCTTGCGACGCGACATCCTCCCCAGGAGAAGATTAAAAAAGTAACACCGTTGGAAATCAGTCCCGAAGCAGGGTAGTTTGTTTCTTTTCACATTTCTTTTACGCACAACAACAAATAACAAACAACATAACAGTAACAATTCTTCAAAACAAAATAAACAAAAAAGACGCAGACAAAATCAAAAAAACCCAATCCAAAACGCTTAATAAATCCAAAAATAAAACGAAAAACACACAATTAAAAACACAAAAAAGAAGGCACTTTGCAAGGACGACGACGATTTCAACAAAAACTAAATTTAACGTTTAAGTTAATTTTGACAAAAAAGGAATTGTATTTTTTGCAAAAGTCTTTATTTATTCGAAAGAAACTGTCACAATCTTTTTAGACGGTTCGTGTCATCATTGTTGTTTTTCTTTTGACGGATACTATAAAGTTTTGACAGTAGTAAGATTTTTTTTGGTGGGGGGGATGACGGCCCCGAGAACACGTGCTCGCGACCGCGACCGACCGGCGACAATAACGCGACCTGCGTCGGGATTCGACTGTGGAGCGCTCCGTTCGAGGCGATCACAGTTGCCTCGTTCCAAAACGAACGGTTGAAACCAACGCCATCTATACGAACGAAACGTTAACTTCCACTACGGATACATCACGCTCAAAATCAACGTTAAAATTTCGAAACAATCAAAAGTTAATTGAACGTCATCTATGGAATTTTGATAGTAACTTGTATATTATACACGGTGGTTCAAAAGTATAATTTTAATACAAATTGGCATAAAAATTACTTTAATTGCTTTTTTTATACCTTTTGTGTTTACAATAATAATAATAATAATTTACAGTGAAAAGTCAATAGCAAATACAAAAATAAATATGTATATAGGTATTATAAGTATACTAATAAAACAAATTAACTTTGTTACTCCACAAACTGATCCTGCATATAATCAGACCATACATAGTAGGCTTTGTTGACCAAATTAGACTTCACCCATTTTTTGAAGTGTCCTCATTCCATAGTTTTCATTTCTTCTGGCAATTTGTTGAAAAACTTAACTCCCAGAAATCAGCATATCTTTTAGTTGCTTCTATCCTATGTAACGATAATCTCAGTTCATCTTTGGCTCTTGTGTCGTATGTGTGAAAGTTTGCATTCGCATTAAATTTACTTCTATTGTCATAAACATACATCGAGGTAGCCAAGATGTATGCACTTAGTACGGTAAGTATACATTCTGTTTTAAATACATCTTTGCAGCTGTCAGTAATTTTAAGGTTACATAAAGCTCTCACCGCCTTCTTCTGCAAACCAAAAATTCTTCCTAAGCCAGGTGAATGACCCCAAACAACTATGTTGCAACAGCATGAAAATTTGCAAAATAAGCTATTTTGGCCACTTCATGAGATGCAATTTTGCTGAGACGTCTAATTATAAAAAGTGCTGACGTTAATTTTTTGGTTATGATATCAGTATGTGGATTCCATGTTAATTTGGGATCAAGAGATAAACCCAAGACTGACCTTTTGTCAACATACACTATTAATTAATTCATTTATGTATACATATATATTATTTTTCTCCTGGATAAGCTATGTGGCAATAAACTTATTATTAACGCGCCTCGGTCAAATTTAGAATGCAGAAAGTTTGCTTCATTAGCTCCGGTTGCGGCCGAGGCACTATAATTATACTACATCAACTCAAAATAGTCAACACATTATTGCGCCTCACATTAACTTAAAATGCAGATCGCATGATTTTGTCTCATTAAGCCGAGGTCGCTTGCACCCGAGGCACTATAATTATACTATATCAACCCGAAACTAGTCAGTATAAATTGCGCCTCGACCAATCATGGAATGCAGAACGCATGGTACGCCTCATTAAGCCGAAGTCGCCTTCGGGCGAGGCTCTACTATTGTACCACACCAACTCAAAATAGTCAACACATTATTGCGCCTCGGATTAACTTAAAATGCAGATCGCATGGTTTAGCCTCATTAAGCTGAGGTAGTTTGTGGCCGAGGCACTATAATTATGCTCCATCAACCCGAATCTAAGCAATATAACATCGTACGTGGTTTTGTCTCTTTAAGCGGAGGTCGCTTTCGGCCGAGGCACTATAATTATACTATATCAACCCGAAACTACTCAATATAATGTCGCGCCTCGACCAATCATGGAATGCAGAACGCATGGTTTAGCCTCATTATGCCGAGGCACTACAATTATATTACATCAATTCGAAACTAGTCAATATAACATCACGCCTCGATCAATCTTGGAAACGTATGGCTTAGCCTCAATAACTACCACATCTACTATTGTACCACATCAACTCGAAAAGAGTCAATACATTGTCGCGCCTCGGCTTAACTTAAAATGCAGATCGTATGGTTTTGTCTCATTAAGCCGAGGTCGCTGGTGGCTGAGGCAGTATAATTATACTACAACAACCCGAAACTAGTCAATATAATGTCGCGACTTGACAAATCTTGGAATGCAGAACGCATGGTTTAGCCTCATTATGCCGAGGCACTACAATTGTATTACATCAACTCGAATACATTATCGCACTTCAGCTAAACTTAAAATGGAGATCGCTTCGCTTTGCCTCAAAAAGCTGAGGTTGCTTGCGGCCGAGGCACTACAATTGTACTACATCAACCAGAAACTGGTCAATAAGTACTTCGCCTCGGCGGTAAACAGCCTCGGCTAAACTTAAAAAAGATAATCTAGGAGACACCTGGACGCTGGGACCTTAACTTAGGAACCTCCCACGCTATTCATCAACTTTTTTACTGCTTGCTTAACAGGCTAAGTGAGTTTTAGAACTTGGAAGTTAGTAAAACGCATGGTTTTTGTTGTCCTTGCTCTGTCAGTATTGGAACGTTATCAACAAATTTTCATTTTATAATTAAGTATCGTTAAAAAAATCTAAATATTAATGAATACAATTATTATATTTTACAACATAATAAAACCATTCATCTTAATCTGTTACGCCACAAAAACCTTCTTTTATAAGTTATTAAATTTGACGGAAGTGTTAAAAGATAACCTCGAATCGAAAAATTACTTCTATTACAGTTAGTTATAATTAAAAGATTGTGAACTTTTTATGGTAAATTTAATGGTGGTTCTGCGTAAATAAACGTGTATAAGATGGAAGAAAATAATAAAAAGACGATTAAAAAAAAGATTGTAGAAGGCTAACACCTCTTTCGATTATCGCTTGGTAATATTATAATTAGGACTGAGAGTCGCGATAACGTAATAGTTGGCGGCGGTGACACGTGAATATTTTCAATTACGATAAAAATCGTAAATGACCGGCAATTAATTCCGTGGAGGCGCTGGAAAGGCCGATAGAGAGAAGCGTTTTCGAGTTTTAAAACGGCGCGGCGCGATATCGGCCAAAAAAACAAAGTAAAAAATCTTGTAACCGGCGGCGAATCGGCAAACGTCCATTAAGATAAAATATAAGCGGGGCCCCCCTTTATTCTCTATGTTGGACGGGGGGACGACCGATCGCGGTGGGCGCTATATCGCCCGAAGGTTGCGATTAAAAACAAAAGGCGAGCGTTAAACAAACAATGCGCGCCGACAATCGATTGTTTTAACAAACCCCAACCTCTCAACCCAGAGGATGGTTAATGCTTTTATTTATTTATTTATTTTCTTTCAACCTTTAGAAAATCACCGTTAATCGAAAATATAGTTATTAAAACTAGAAAGATTTTTTTGAAATTAAATTTTTCAATTTATTATTTTTAACCTAGGTTATGGGTACTCAATACTTTATCGTATCCTTCTGCTTTGTCGATAACCTCTACTATCTTCAGACAAAGAAATGCGGGCCCGATAACAAGGGACCACGTCCATTTGTTTGTAATCTAAGCTATTTTATCACTTAGCCCGGTGCATTTCAAAATAATTTTCAAATGAGTTACATTACTTAATAACTTTCGTCATAATTTTAATGTTTACGATTTCAAAAATTTTAAGGAAATTAAATTTAAAATATTTTTATAATACACCCCTAACTTATAGGCAACTTAAACAACGTCTAAAATAATTATAGATTTCTATAAAGATTTTATTAAAAAAATTTATTTATTATTAACTCGATTTTATTATTAACAAATTTTAATTTTAACATCAAAATTTCTAAATAATAATAAATTAATGCTTAAAAAAGAAAACGTATTACTAAAAGTGACAGTTTTTGATGATATAGAGGGCCAAATAAGTTGTGGTCGAAATTGGGCTTTATGTTACAAGCAAATACGGTTGAACGAAGGTGCGTCAACGAACTGCTTAACTTTATACACAACCATAACAATCGACCAGTGGAAGTGTCTACGGCGCCATTTGCATCGCGAATTCGTCCGGTTTAATTTTAATGCGGTATCCGGTTTTGTTTTTCATGTAAAATGGAGGTTAAAAACGAATCGAGTCAATTTGACATCAGCAAAATATGTCGGGCTTGTCTCACCGAGAAGGAAGTGATGCAATCCGTCTTTATCCCTGATGAATCAATTGGGCAAACGTTACATTTAGCTGAAATGATTATGAATTTCACCAATGTACAGGTCTAAACAATTTTGTATCTTTTTATCATTAATTTTAATTTTATGTAGTCTTTAATTTAAAAAAAAATGAATAAAAAAAAAACAAACATAATAAAAACAAAAAAAAAACAAACAAAACAAAAAACAATTCATTGTTTTTGTTTTATTTAAAAAAAAAACTAATCTAATATTTACTTGTCAGAAAATGTTATGTTATAATACAGGGTGTTATGTATCCTATAACATAATATAGGGTGTTGCATTTAGAAAAATAAAGTTGACTTATGATGCATGCTGTACCGGGTGTCCCATCGGTTGTGGTATTTTTTGACGTCTAAATTTGAAGATAGAAATTCAAATTTCGATATGTATTATGCCACCCTACTTGGCCAGGATTCTTATACCATATGATATGGGAGTCATGGTAAATTTATACTAAAAAATTTGTGATTTATTCATTATTTAGGATAAAATTAATTTATTTTCTTAATTTTTGTCCTAAATAATGAATAAATCGCATTCTTTTTTGTGTGAATTTACTTTATTATGACTCCTACATCATAATATGGTATAAGAACCGTTTAAAAAATAATACCATAAATTTCGAGACTATTCATGTAAAAAATTTTGATCTAAACCCATAAGAGCAACCGCTGTATGTCAGTGGCATTCATAACTGCACCTTGGGATTTCCCACTTCTTTAGTATTAGTTCGTCTCGTGAAATTGTGATATGTTATGTTGTTGTATATTATTACAGGTGGGAAATAAAGGTATTATTATTATTATTATTACATGGCTAAGATATGTGCCTTCAAAGTTAAGAAATTTTCAAACATTTTCTTAAATATTTTCAATATGGTGTATCTTAGAAAGACTAAATTTGGCAAACAATGTTATCATAAGAAATCATTTAAGGTTGCTATTGAAAATATCCAACCACGGATCAATGTTATACAGGGTGTTCACAAAGTTTATTTCTTTAAAACTGTTTTATTATGTCATAAACCTTTAAATTTTTCAACTGATTCTAAAAGCCTATTTCATTTTAATATTATTTTCAGTCTTAGAAATTTTTTATTAGAGGCGTCGTTTTCGAAATATTTACAATTGAATTTTTCATTTACTATTGAAACAAATTTTAAGTAAAGACAACCTGAAGAAAATCATTTCTAAATATCCAAAGACTAAATAACTGGAATCAGAAGTGAGGTCGTACTCCCTAACTAAAAGAAAACATTTTGGATTTTGTGGCAGATCGTAGTACTGTTAGTACTGTTGATAGCAACAGTACATTTCAGAATATCCAAAGGTACGTCTTGGCATGTCCTACATGGACAGTAGGATGGATGGGATTCCTTTAGTCGAGAGTACAAGAATTAAAAATTGCTGATCATTCTAATAGTGGTTTGTATATTTTTAAAAGTGATCTTAAACGATTTCTCATGATAACATTGCACTGTTTACCAAATTTTATCTTTCTAAGACAAACCATATTGAAAACATTTAAGAAAAAGTTTGCAAATTTCTTAACTTTGAATAAATGGCTTAAATCTTAGCCATTTATGAGTTTAGACCAAAAATGTTATTATTTTGACTAGTATTTGTAATTAAAATTATGTCACGAGTTACAGAAACACCTGTATAAGCAATATGTCAAATGAAGTTGATAATTTTAAAAAACTTATACATTAAGTATAGGAAATGAGCAAAAATTGTAAAAAGTTTAAGTATCAAAATAGCTAGAAGAGTATTTTCTTTTCTAGATTCAAACAGGAGATGGTCTTCCTTCTTTAATATGTTTAGATTGCGTTCATCAAGTAACAAGAGCATTTTCATTTAAACAATTATGTGAGCAATCGGATACAAATCTCCGACAATTCTTAGGAAGACCACCAGCTGTAAAAGAACAACTAAAACAAGAAGAAATCGAAGCCTCTGATTATTCCGTATTTGTAGAGAGTTTTACAATGGATGATTCATCAGATAACAGCGATGATGACGACGATGGTTTTACAAAAACGTTTATTTTACCCGAAAATCCTTTAAGTCCAGCGAATGAAAAGCTTATCGCTCAAAGACAATTAAAGAAAACCACCAAATTAATTAACAGTAAATTAAGAAAAAAAGTTTTAACGAAATCGGAAAAGGTTATGTTGAATAAAAAGAAAAAATTAGCGAATCAATGTGATGTTTGTAAAAGACAATTTGTTAATTTGCATTCGTTTAAGAAGCACTTAAAAACTCACATTGAAGATCGCCCTTTTAAATGTAAAGTTTGTCCTAGATCTTTTACAGAAGAAAACTACCTCAATAATCATATGATAACTCATATTCCTGATGAGCAAAAACCCCACGAATGCGACGTATGCAAAAAACGATTTATCCATCAAACTTTATTAAATAAACACATGTTAAAACATAGCGGAGAAAAGCCGTTCGTTTGTAAAATATGCAATAAAGGTTGTTACGCCGAAAACAGTTTGTTAAAACATATGAAAATTCACGAGAAAAAAGAAGGCGATCCCGGTTTACTAAAACACATTTGTGATTATTGTAAAAGTGAATTTCCGGATGCCGTTACGTTAGATGTTCACATTAAACAACACACCGGAGATAGACCATTTCTGTGTAATGTTTGTGGGAAATCGTTTCCACAAAGATTCAATTTAGAGTTACATTTAAGAACGCACACCGGAGAAAGACCATTTACTTGCGAAATATGCCAAAATAAATACGTTTCAAAGGCAAGTTTAAAAATTCACATGAGAACGCATACAAATGAGAGACCATTTGCTTGCGAATTTTGTGGGAAAGCTTTTCGGCAATCCGGTGACTTAACAAGTCATAAAAGATTACACGGAACTGAAAAACCCATTGAGTGTAATATTTGTGAAAAAAGGTAAAATTTATTTTCTATAAATTAATAAAATCGTAAAGTTTAATTTTTTAAGATTTACAACAGTAATGAAACTAAAATATCACATGAGAAATCACACAGGAGAACGTCCCTACGTTTGTAATGTTTGTGGAAGAGGTTTCACAGTGAACACAATATTATTAAGACACATGAGAGTACATTCTGGAGAAAGACCATATGTTTGCGTTATTTGTGGAAAAGCCTTTTCGCAATCAAGTACTTTAAGTACTCATATGAAGGTAAACAAAATTAATTTAATTCATTAATTATTAATAAAAAGACTTATATGATTTTAGGTTCATGCACCATCCCCAAAATATAACAACCAAGACCAACCAAGACCAATAGAAACAAAATACATTGTAGAACATCAACCCAAATATACCCAACCAAATCAAGATCAAGGAAATCCCCAAGGAAGTCGCTTACAACAACAACTCCAACAACAGCAACAACCAGTTCAACAAGATACAAGGATGATCCCTCAACAAGAACCTCAAAGAATGATTCCTCAACAAGATCCACAAAGAATGATACCTCAAGATGCAACGAGAATGCTTTCGAGCGATGGGTCAAGGATATTAACAGATAACTCGCATATGCTCAATGATAATAGACTACTTGAAAACAGATTGATGGTAAACGTTGGGGAACCCCCGAGGATGTTAGTTAATGATAATTCGCAAAGATTGATGAATGATAATCGTTTGATTGGGAATGATGGGAGAATTATGGCTACCTTAAATACTGATAATCGGATATTAACTAATGATGGGAGGTTAATAACGGATGCAAGGTTGCTAACAGATAAATATATTGCGAATTATGATCCGTATCATCGCGGACATTTAGGATGAAAAATTTAATAAAGTATTATTTACCAGCAATTTAATAACAAATTGGAGGTAATAAACATATCGTTCATTTATTACTGACTAAATACTTCACAAAAATAATAAGATAGACTGATAGTGTTTATACTTAAATAATTCTAAAATAAAACCAATTTTTTCTAGAATAAGCGTCTTATTTCATTCTGATAAAGTCTTAATATTAAAAGTCTGATCCTATTTCTCCCATATATGGATTAGTGTTATCAGGCCAAGGATTAATTAAGGATAACTTTCGCGATTATTTTAATGTTTACGATTTCAAAAATTTTAAGTCAAATCTAAAATATTTTTATAATAAACCCCTAACTTATAGGCAACTAAAACAACATCTAAAATTATTGCAAGTTTCTATAAAAACTTTTTAAAAAAATTAATTTGTTATTAACTCGACTTCATTATTAACAAATTTTAATATAAAATTTCCAAATAATAACAAATGTTAATATTTAAAAGTTAAAAAAATTTGTTACTAAAAGTGACAGTTTGTTGATGATATAGAGGGCCAAATAAGTTGTGGTCGAATTTGAACTTTATATCACAAATAAATAAGGATGAATAAAGCTGCGTCCACGAACTTTATACACAAAACAATCCACCAGTGCACCCAACCAGTGGAAGTGCGGTTTAATATTAATGCGGTATCCGGTTTTGTCTTTCTTGTCAAATGGAGGTTAAAAACGAATCGAGTCAATTTGACATCAGCAAAACATGTCGGGCTTGTCTCGCCGAGAAGGAAGTGATGCAATCCATCTTTATGCCTGAGGAATCAATTGGGCAAACGTTACATTTAGCTGAAATGATTATGAATTTCACCAATGTACAGGTCTAGAAACAATTTCATTCTTTTTGTATACTGTTGATTACTGCATAGATATTGTATCAAAAGTGGAGTCTTAGCTGCGAGCAACCTCGGCTTGGTTAGATGAAATCATACAATCTCGATTTCAAGTTGAAATGAGGTCGCTTGCGGTCTAGGCGCTTTTGTATGTGCTAGAATATCTGCTATATATATACAGGGTGTATCTGAATGACGTGCCCAAACTTCAGGGGTGATTCTTTAGGCAATTTTAAGGGAACTTTGATATATGAACTATGGGCGACTTGGGCTCCCCTAAGGAGCTACAATTTTGGTTTTTTTAAAAACCATAAACGTTAGGAAAACGAAATTTGGGGAATATGTTTAACTCATAGTAGGGCACGTTTTCACTTTATTTGTACTTTCAACCTATCCTTCTAAACTACTAAACGTAACCACCCCCTTTACATTTTTGCTAAATTTTTGTATGCAGATGGTAAATACATTAAAAAAAATTTACATAGGTAGGTGAAAGTATCCTAAAACTTTTTTGTCTCTCTAAAATTTTTCCAAAAACGACAAAAACGAGAAAAAAATAATAAAGCAAACACTGCGTGTTAAACAACGGGGTTGTCTATCAAAAGTTGTAATGAAAAATCTTAGTAGGCTTTCCAATCTTTGTCAGAAATATTTTTGACGTTTAAATGTCAGTGTTTTTCTTACTATTATTATTGTTTTTCAAATTAATTTATGAATAAAGTTCTACCGCATTTACGCTCGTTCACTCGACGTTTCAAAATTTTAAATAAAACAATAATAATAGTAAGAAAACCACTGACATTTAAACGTCAAAAATAATTCTGACAAAGATTGCAAAGCCTACTAAGATTTTTTCATTATAAATTCCCTACAGCTTAACAGTTAGTGTTTGCTTAATTAATTTTTTTCTCAGAAAGTATTAACTTTTCGAAGAACATCAGAGAGGCAAAAAAGTTTTAGAATATTGTCATCTATCTAAATAAAATATTTCCAATGTATTTATCACCGTCATAAAAAAAATCTAGACAAAAATGGAACGGGGGTGGTTATGTTTAGTAACTTAGATAGGAAGATTGAAAGTACAGATAGGCTCGAAACATGCCCTATTATAAGCTAAACATATTTCCCAAATTTCATTTTCTTGGTGTTAATGGTTTTCGGGAAAAAAAAAATAAACCAAAATTTTTCGCTATTTTTGAAGAGGCGTAGCTCCGCAGGGGAGTCGAAATCGCTCATAGTTTATATAAGAAAGTACCCTTAAAATTGCCTAAAAAATCACCCCTGAAGTTTGGGCACGTCATTCAGATACACCTGTATATATAATATAATCTGCTAATATTGCAGAGATGTAGTAGCAAATGTATAGAGGCTGAGCCCGCTCAGCCGCAAGCGACTTGAGGTTATTAGTTGAAAATATCATTCCTTAAGATTTCAACTTAGACTCGCTCCTAAACAACACAATTCAAGGCTATTAAATCGACAAGGATGGCCAATAACATGATTATAAATTAATAATTCTAAAAAGCTGTATTAAAATTAACANATTTTTCGCTATTTTTGAAGGGGCGTAGCTCCGCAGGGGAGTCGAAATCGCTCATAGTTTATATAAGAAAGTACCCTTAAAATTGCTTAAAGAATCACCCCCTGAAGTTTGGGCACGTCATTCAGATACACCTGTATATATAATATAATCTGCTAAAATTGCAGAGATGTAGTAGCAAATGTATAGAGCCTCAGCCCGCTCGGCCGCAAGCGACTTAGTTTAAAATATCATTCCTTAAGCCTAGGTCACACGTAACGAGTACAGTGGCGAGACAGTAAAATGACACTAGGCCGAGAGAGTAGCGTGGCACTCGGTCCAGTAAATAGAATAGGGTCCGAGTGACTGTCTCGCCCTGGTACTAGGTCGAGCGCTCGGCCGAGCACTCGGTAATATGTTTATACCAACCGACGACTCGGCCGATTACACTGTCTCGCCACTGTACTCGTTACGTGTGACCTAGGCTTTAAGATTAAAACTTAGACTCGCTCCTAAATAACACAATTCAAGGCTATTAAATCGACAAGGATGGCCAATAACACGATTATAAATTAATAATTCTAAAAAGCTGTATTAAAATTAACAACAATCATAAGTGTATATAATCTAAAATAAAATAAATTGATTTGAACATTTTAATATCAAAGTATTTTCTTTTAGATTCAAACAGGAGATGGTCTTCCTTCCCTAATATGTTTAGATTGCGTTCATCAAGTAACAAGAGCATTTTCATTTAAACAATTATGTGAACAATCAGATACAAATTTACGACAATTCATAGAGAAACCAGCAGCTATAAAAGAAGAAGTAAAAGAAGAAGAAATCGAATTCTCTAATTATTCGGTATTTGTAGAGTGTGTGACAATGGATGATTCATCAGATAACTACCATGATGACAAGGATGGTTTCCCAAAAACATTTATTTTACCGGAAGATCCTTTAGATCCAGCGAATGAAAACCATGTCACTCAAACACGATTAAAGGAAGCCAAATTAATTAATAATAAATTAAGAAAAAAAGTTTTAACGAAATCGGAAAAGGTTATGTTAAATAAAACGAAAAAAATAGCGAATCAATGCCATATTTGTAAAAAGCAGTTCATTAATTTATATTCGTTTAAGAACCACTTAACATCTCACATTGAAGGTTTCCCTTTTAAATGTAAAGTTTGTCCGAGATCTTTTAAGAATAAATACCACTGCAATAGTCATATGATAACTCATATTCCCGATGAACAAAAACCCCACAAATGTGAAGTATGCAAAAAACGATTTACCCAACAATCTTCATTAAATAAACACATGTTAAAACATAGCGCAAAAAAATCGGTTGTTTGTAAAATATGCAATAAAGCGTGTTACACCGAAGCTGCTTTGTTAAAACATATGAAAATTCACGAGAAAAAAGAAGGCGATCCTGATTTACTAAAACACATTTGTGATTATTGTAAAACTGAATTTCCGGATTCCGTTACGTTAGATGTTCACATTAAACAACACACAGGAGATAGACCGTTTCTGTGTAATGTTTGTGGGAAATCATATTCGCAAAGATACAGTTTAGAGGTACATTTAAGAAGTCATACCGGAGAAAAGCCATTTCCTTGCGAAATCTGCCAAAATAATTACGTTTCAAAGGCAAGTTTAAGAGGTCACATGAGAACACATACCGGAGAAAGGCCATTTACTTGCGAAATATGCCAAAATAAATACGTTTCAAAGACAACTTTAAAAATTCACATGAGAACTCATACAAATGAGAGACCATTTCCTTGCGAAGTTTGTGGAAAAGCTTTTCGGCAAAAGGGTGACTTAACAAGTCATAAAAGTATACATGGAACTGAAAAACCCATTGAGTGTAATATTTGTGAAAAAAGGTAAAATTAATTTTTTACAAACTAATAAAATGATAAACTTTGCTTTTTTAAGATTTCTAAGCGTGAGGAAACTAAAATATCACATGAGAAATCACACAGGAGAACGTTCCCTACATTAGTTAATGGTGAAAAATTTAATAAAGTATTATTTACCAGCAATTTAATAATAAATTGGAGGAAATAAACATATCGTTCATTTATTACTGAGTAAATACGTCACAAGATAGACTGATAGTGTTTATACTTAAATACTTCTAAAATAAAATCAATTATTTTTTTTTAGATTTTTTATCATTTTTTTTTGGATATGTCAATAATCATCGATAACATAATAAAAACGAAATGGTATAAAAAAGATATAAGTATTGAATTACCACAGTAATCACCTAAAATCACAAATTATAAACAGGATGAACAATTACATATATATATAGAGAAATAAAATTGACAGATAAATCATTTTTGAAAGAAATAAAACAAAAAATATATGATATTTTGTTAAGTAATTGTTATCCCAAACACTTGATTAATAACTCATGGTTTACAATACTAAATAATATAGATGGATTGAAAGTCAAAACAAATAATATAACCCCACAAGATCATCAACAAAGGGTAAAGAATACAAATACAGAAAATGTAAAAAGAGATATAAATAAAAAGAATAAACCAACTATTAGACAATCCCTAATTACACAATTCATACCTAGACAAACATAATAATAATAATAATACAGGGCAGAATGTTCCAGAAAGCACTCATAATAATAAAGAATTTTGTAAAATTAAATTTATACCAACATTAACAAATAAGGTAACGAATGTTTTTAAGAGGTATGAAATATCAGAAATAAAATTTGCTAAGTATAATAACAAAATTGGCACCTTAATATCAAATATGAAGTATAAAATCAAGACATTAGATAGACTAGATACGGTATACCAATTAAACTGCACTGATTGCAATAAAATTTAAAAGTCTTAATATTAAAAGTCTAATACTCGTCCTCCTATTTCTCCCGTATGTGGATTAGTGTTATTAATTATGCATAACGTTAACTTTCGCAATTATTTTAAAGTTTACGATTTCAAAAATTTTAAGTCAAATCTAAAATGTCTTTATAATAAACCCCTAACTTATAGGCAACTGAACCAACATCTAAAATTATTGCAAGTTTCTATAAAACTTATTTAAAAAAAATAAATTTGTTATTACCTCGACTTTATTATTAACAAATTTTAGTGTTAAAATTTCCTAATAATAATAAATGTTAATATTTAAAAGAGAAAACTTATTACTAAAAGTGACAGTTTGTTGATGATATACAGGGCCAAATAAGTTGTGGTCGAATTTGAACTTTATATCACAAATGAATAAAGCAGCATCCACGAACTTTATACATAAAACAATCCACCAGTGCACCCAACAAGTGGAAGTGCGGTTTAATTTGAATGCGGCATCCGGTATTGTATTTCTTGTCAAATGGAGGTTAAAAACGAATCGTATCAATTTGATATGAGCAAAATATGTCGGGCTTGTCTCGCCGAGAAGGAAGTGATGCAATCCGTCTTTATGGCTGATGAATCAATTGGGCAAACGTTACCTTTAGCTGAAATGATTATGAATTTCACCAATGTACAGGTCTAAAAACAATTTCATTCTTTTTGTATACTGTTGATTACTGCATAGATGTTGTATCAAAAGTAGAGTCTCGGCTGCGAGCAACTTCGGCTTGATTAGATGAAATCATACAATCTCGATTTCAAGCTGAACTAAGGTCGCTTGCGTCCGAGATGCTGCTCTATATGCTGTTCAGTGGCGCCGACTACGGGGGGCTGCGGTGCTTGAGCCCCCCGTAGTCAGCGCCACGGGGCTAGGGCCCCCCCCGGAAAATCGTAAAAGTGTACAATTGTATTACTTATTATTATGTACAATACAATTGTATTGTAATAAGGTGTACCATGTGAAAAAGTGCAGCCCCATTAAATATTAAAAAGTCGGCGCCACTGGTGCTGTTCAATATTGCAGAGATGTAGTAGTAAATGTATAGGGCCTCGGCCACAAGCAACCTGGGCTTAATTAAATGAAAATATCATTCCTTAAGATTAAAACTTAGACTCACTCCTAAACAACATAATTCAAGGCTATTATATCGACAAGGATGGCCAATAACGCGATGTGAAATTAATAATTCTAAAAAACTGTGGTAAAACTCAGTAGATAAAAATTAACAAAAATCACAACAAGTGTATATAATCTAAAATAAAATAAATTGATTTGAATATTTTAATATCAAAGTATTTTCTTTTAGATTCAAACAGGAGATGGTCTTCCTTCTCTAATATGTTTAGATTGCATTCATCAAGTAACAAGATCGTTTTCATTTAAACAATTATGTGAAGAATCAGATACAAATCTACGACAAATTATAGAGAGATCACCAGTTCTAAAAGAAGAACTAAAACAGGAAGAAATCGAAGTCTCTGATTATTCGGTAGTTGTAGAGAGTGGTACAATGGATGATTCATCAAATACATCAGATCCTTTAGATCCAGCGAATGAAATCCTTATCGCTCAACTACAATTACAGAAGACAATCAAAATAATTAATAGTAAATTAAAAGAAAACGTTTTAACGAAATCGGATGAGGTTATGTTGAATGAAACGAAAAAATTAGCGAATCAATGTGATGTTTGTAAAAAGCAGTTCATTAATTTGCATTCGTTTAAGAAGCACTTAAAAACTCACATTGAAGATTGCCCTTTTAAATGTAAAGTTTGTCCGAGATCTTTTACAAAAAAATACTACTGCAATAATCATATGACAACTCATATTCCCAATGAACAAAAACCCCACAAATGTGATGTATGCAAAAAACGATTTCCCTATCAATCTTTATTAAATAAACACATGTTAAAACATAGCACAGAAAAACCGTTTGTTTGTAAAATATGCAATAAAGGGTGTTATGCCGAAAACAGTTTGTCAAAACATATGAAAATTCACGAGAAAAAAGAAGGCGATCCTGATTTACTAAAACACATTTGTGTTTATTGTAAAAGTGAATTTCCAGATGCAGTAACATTAGATGTTCATATTAAACAGCACACAGGAGATAGACCGTTTCTCTGTACAGTTTGCGGGAAATCGTTTGAGGAAAGATACAAGTTAGACTTACATTTAAGAAGTCATACCGGAGAAAAGCCATTTACTTGCGAAATATGCCAAAATAAATATGTTTCAAAGGCAAATTTAAACGTTCACATGAGATCGCATACAAATGAGAGACCATTTGCTTGCGAATTTTGTGGAAAAGCTTTTAGGCATTCCAGTGTCTTAACAAGACATAAAAGATTACATGGAACTGAAACACCCATTGAGTGTAATATTTGTGTAAAAAGGTGTAATTTATTTTTTATAAACTAATAAAATAATAAACTTTGATTTTTTAAGATTTACAAGCGTAATGCAACTAAAATATCACATGAGAAATCACACAGGAGAACGTCCCTACGTTTGTAATGTTTGTGGAAGAGGTTTCACAGTGAACACAATATTAGTAAGACACCTGAGAACACATACCGGAGAGAAGCCATATGTTTGCGCTATTTGTGGAAAAGCCTTTGCGCAATCAAGTACTTTAAGTACTCATATGAAAGTAAAAAAATTTAATCTAATTCATTAATTATTGATAAAAAAAATTTTATTTCAGGTTCATGCACCATCCCCAAAATATAACAACCAAGACCAATAGAAATACTATACATCATAGAGCATCAACCCAAATATATAACCAGTTCAACGAAATACAAGGATGATACCTCAACAAAAGGCTCAAAGAATGATTCCTCAACAAGATCTACAAACAATGATATCCCAAGATGCAACAAGAATGCTTTCAAGCGATGGTAACTCAATGATAATAGACTACTTGAAAACAGATTGATGATATTCGCAGAGATTGATGAATAATAATCGTTTGATTAGGAATGATGGCTACCTTAAATTCGTAAATTCTTAAATAATTCTAAAATAAAACAAATTTTTTCTAGAATAAGCGTATTATTTTATTCTAATAATAATAATACTTTATTGTGTTACTAAGCTGCTGCTCTTACACTCGTCCAAATAAATACATTTTCAATACATTTTTTATTTAATAAATACACTAGCAGAAACAAAAACCAAGAGCGTATGGTGGTTACAATCCGATCCCTGCATTTAGGAACTCCTGCACAGACTAAAATGTTTTCTGACACAAAATCTCTTTTAAGCTACCTTTAAAAATCTTTCTATTAGACTCCCCTATTAATTCACTCGGCAGCTTGTTAAGTAGTACTCGACACGGCCCAAGCTGTGTTTTGGATAAACGGCAGTAATTAAAACATTTTTTACACAATTTTTTTAAGAATGCTGAAACTGCGAGCTTGTTTGAACTTCAATTATTTATAACGACGCTTCTGATGATGACTTATAGTCAAAACATGTTAAGCTGAATTTTTATTCTTAGTAAACCAGTAATAAAGTACAGAAACCATATTTAATATAATTTTCATCCTTAAAACTAATTAATACAAAGAAATTGTAACAATTTCTTTGGGTTAATATTAAAAGTCTGATACTCGTCCTCCTATTTCTCCCGTATGTGGATTAGTGTTATCAGGCCAATGATTAAATGCGTAATCAAATACGTATAACGATAACTTTCGTGTTTATTTTAATGTTTACGATTTCAAAAATTTTAAGTCAAGTCTAAAATATTTTTATAATAAACCCCTAACTTATAGGCAACAAAACTAACATCTAAAATTATTACAAGTTTCTAAAAAATCTTTTTTAAAAAAATTAATTTGTTATTACCTCGACTTTATTATTAACAAATTTTAGTGTTAAAATTTCCAAATAATAACAAATGTTAATATTTAAAAGTTAAAAAAATTTGTTACTAAAAGTGACAGTTTGTTGATGATATAGAGGGCCAAATAAGTTGTGGTCGAATTTGAACTTTATATCACAAATAAATAAGGATGAATAAAGCTGCGTCCACGAATTTTATACACAAAACAATCCACCAGTGCACCCAACCAGTGGAAGTGCGGTTTAATATTAATGTGGTATCCGGTCTTGTTTTTCTTTTCAAATGGAGGTTAAAAACAAATGGAGTCAATTTGACATCAGCAAAATATGTCGGGCTTGTCTCACCGAGAAGGAAGTGATGCAATCCATCTTTATGCCTGATGAATCAATTGGGCAAACGTTACATTTAGCTGAAATGATTATGAATTTCGCCAATGTACAGGTCTATAAACAATTTCATTCTTTTTGTATACTTTTTCGCGCTCCAGGAATGGTCGCTACATAAAAATACCGCTCCAAAATACCGTGACCTTGAGCAAAAACATAGCTGGTTTCGTAGCAAGTTAGAAAAAATTATATATTCCCATATATTATTATCATAAAATAATATATATGTATATTAAGGGGGCTTTAATATATATATAATGTCTTATATGTATAACGTTATAATACAACGTTCGGAATCGGGTATTTTAAAAATCGCGCCGGAATAGTACGTTCCATTAGAATAATGCTCCAAAATATCGTTCCTCAAATATCGAACCATCACTACAAATATGTAATATTAGTAACGTTCTGTAACGGGTATTTTAAAATCGCGTGGAAGCGGTACGCTCCTCAAAAATACCGTCCCATCACTACTGTTGATTACTGCATAAATATTGTATCAAAAGTATAATCTCGGCTGCGAGCAACCTCGGCTTGATTAGATGAAATCATACAATCTCGATTTCAAGTTGAACTTAAGTCGCTTGCGGCCGAGGCGCTTCTGTATGTGCTGTTCAATATTGCACCTTATTATATTGGGCACCTTGGCCGCAAGCGACCTGGGCTTATTAGATGAAAATATCATTCCTTAAGATTTCAACTTAGACTTGCTCATAAACAACATAATTGCTGTTGCATAATTGCAACACAAAGCTATTAAATCGACAAGTATGGCCAATAACTCGATGTGAAATTAATAATTCTAAAAAACTGTGATAAACAGTTGTAAAAGTCAGTAGATAAAAATTCACAAAAATCATAACAAGTGTATATAATCTAAAATAAAATAAATTGATTTGAATATTTTAATATCAAAGTATTTTCTTTTAGATTCAAACAGGAGATGGTCTTCCTTCTCAACTATGTTTAGATTGCATTCATCAAGTAACAAGAGCATTTTCATTTAAACAATTATGTGAACAATCAGATACAAATGTACGACAATTCATAGAGAGACAAGCAGCTAAAGAAGAAGAACTAAAACAAGAAGAAATCGAAGTCTCTGAGTATTCGGTAGTTGCAGAGAGTGTTACAATGGATGATTCATCAAATACATCAGATTCTTTAAATCCAGCGAATGAAAACCTTGTCACTCAAAAACAATTAAAGGAATCCAAATTAATTAATAGTAAATTAAAAGAAAAAGTTTTATCGGAACCGGAAGAGGTTGTATTAAATAAAACGAAAAAATTAGCGAATCATTGTGATATTTGTAAAAAGCAGTTCTTTAATTTGTATTCGTTTAAGAAGCACTTAACAACTCACATTGAAAATCGCCCTTTTAAATGTAAACTTTGTCCGAGATCTTTTACAAAAAAATTCTACTGCAATAATCATATGATATCTCATATTCCCGATGAACAAAAACCCCACGAATGTGAAGTATGCAAAAAACGATTTACCCATCAATCTTTATTAAATCAACACATATTAAAACATAGCGCAGAAAAACCGTTTGTTTGTAAAATATGCAGTAAAGCCTATTACGCCAAAAACGGTTTGACAGCTCATATGAGAATTCACGAGAAAAAAGAAGGCGATCCTGATTTATTAAAACACATTTGTGTTTATTGTAAAAGTGAATTTCCAGATGCAGTAACGTTAAATGTTCATATTAAACAACATACAGGAGACAAACCGTATCTGTGTACTGTTTGTGAGAAATCGTTTGAAAGAAAATTCCATTTTGAGTTACATTTAAGAAGTCATAGTGGAGAAAAGCCTTTTACTTGCGAAATATGCCAAAATAAATTCGTTTCAAAGGGAACTTTAAAACTTCACATGAGGACGCATACAAATGAGAGACCATTTGTTTGTGAATGTTGTAGGAAAGATTTTAAGCATTCTAGTGGTTTAAAAAATCATAAATGCTTACCCGGAATTGAAAAGCCTGTTGAGTGTAATATTTGTAAAAAAAGGTAAAATTTATTTTTTTATAAATTAAAGAATTATAATTGAAATCCAGCCTACTAGTTGTTAATTTTAAAGGAGGTAAATAATAATTTGAAGTTTGAATCTGTACTTTTAAACTGGTCTTTATTTATTTAATATAAGTCTAACTAGTTTCGGCCCCTGGCCATCTTCAAACACTATTTCTTATTCTTGTTAAAGAGATCACAAATCAAAATTGATATTACATTAATACTATTAATTTCTATTTTACAAAATTTTAAAAATAATTTTAAGGACGAATTACTACACGTCGTAAACAAATTACTTTGTTTAATATTTCCTTACTAAAATCAATATTTCTCTATTCAATCAGGAAAAATAATGTCCTTTTCTAAAAACCGGTTATTTGACCAGTTATAGTAAATAGGTATACACATGTCTCATGTAACTGGTTCCTTAGAACTTTTTTAAGTTCCACTATTCGTAGAGTTTTGAAATTTTGGTAGTATAGGTTGTTCAATATTTTGTTCATATTTTCAAGATGGCTGCCGAGACAGTAAAAAAATTTAAATGGAGCTCCCTATATTTTTTAGCCTATCAGAAAGGGAATTTAATTGACTACAAATTATCTACACCCGTCGTCAAATATAACTAATAACAACAATAATACAAACATGGACCAAAAACTGTCTATATTCAATGGCTTTCTTATAAAAAAAAACCTGCTTTCCATGCATATTTTGATAAATTTCCCAATATGAGGGAAACTACAGTAAATAGGTATAGCAATGTTTATAGATAATTTGTAGTCAATTAAATTTCCTTTCTGAAACCCAACCCAACCAGATACGTGAGACACCCCGGTATGTTAAGTCTCGGTGTTAATAAAATTATAAACTTTAATTTTTTAGATTTACAACAAAAAGGAGACTAAAATATCACATGAGTAATCACACAGCAGAACGTTCCTACGTTTGTAATGATTGCGGAAGAGGTTTCATGCGAAAATCAATATTAGTAGGACACCTGAGAACACATACCGGAGAAAAGCCGTATGTTTGCGCTATTTGTGGAAAAGCCTTTGCGCGATCAAGTACTTTAACTAGTCATATGAAGGTAAAAAAAATTTATTTATTTCCTTAATTATTAATAAAAGCAAAATTGATTTTAGGTTCATGCAGCATCCCCAAAACATAACAACCCAACCCAACCCAACACCAACACAAACGATATACATCGTAAAGCATCAACCCAAATATACCCAACCAACTCAAGATCAAAGAAATCAAGATAATTGACATATTATTATTTTTTAGGTATATACAGTGGTCCATTTAACATTGTACATAAAAATGAACCAACTGAAAGTTTTTCTGTGTGAAGGGGGAAACCATATGACGTTAACATTTTTTGACCTTGACCTTATTTTCAAGGTCATATGAAGGTTACGACCATTTTTTTAAATGGCACTCTATGTTTTTGATTGCAAAAGTAAAATAATTTAAAAAAAATTACCTTTTGGTTTTGCCAGTACGACAGATAAACATCTTTTCTAAATAATTTTTTTATTCAAATAGTTTTAAATATTGTTTATTTATAAAAAAATGATTAAACTATACTATTAATCATCTTAAAAGGTTTTCTTAGCTACTATTTCTGCATGCATTTCTTATCTGCTCTTTCATGTTTTCTGGCGTAGTCGGTACTTCGCGATAAACATTATCCTTAAGGACGCCCCACAAAAAAAATCAAGAGGTGGTAAATCAGGTGATCTGGCAGACCAGGAAATTGAACCTCTCCTTCCAATCCATCGCCCAGCATAATCCCGATCTAAAGCTTCACGTGCAATATGTAAAAAATGTGCTGTATACCCATCATTTTGCAACCACATATTTTGTCTTTGTTCCCTGCTCAAATCTACAAGTAACGTTGTAGATTTATTTGTATCAATTTATTACCAATTACGCCACACTACAAACCAAACATTAACCGACCAGGGTCGTTGATGTTCTACTTCACTATCTCGGATTTTCAACTTTCCAATAGTGCATGTTATGTCTATTACCTTGTCCATTGTTTGTAAAAGTTACCAAAGAAATTGACGTCCAACCGCATTCGTTCTTGTGCCCATTGACAAAATATTAATCGATTTTCAAAATCACTTCCATAAAGCTGTTGATGCAATGAAGTGTGGTATGGGTGATACTTGTTTCGCTTTAATATTCTTAAAATGCTGGTCTGCAATATTCCGGCGTCAATTGCAAGTCGTCGAGTGCTAACTTGAGGATTTACTAAGCTAGCTAATACCGCAATTTCCTTTTCTTCCGTAGTTGAAAGTTCTTGATTCCACATTTCCAGTGTTAGTAAACTCATTCACAACTCTGTAAAAGGTACTTCTCGAAGGCGTATTTCGATGAGGAAAACGTTCTCGACATAAACTATCTATATATACTATCAGCAACTTTTCTGCCAGTTTCTCCATAAATAAAAATCATTTCGCCGTTTTCTGCCACACTTAAGAGTATCCATGATTTAATGACTTAGTTTAAACACTTTGCTTTAATGTAAAACGATGGGGAATAAATTCAGAATTTGTTGCCAAGCAGTTTTTATGCAAATTTAGTTTTAACTGTTACATTTTAAAACAATTCAACCCATTAAGTCTCTGAGAGCGATATTCTGAAAATGTCGACATAAGCAGTTCCACAAACTCTTGTTTGTTATCGTCATATGGTTTCCCCCTTCGCACAGAACAACTTTCATTTGGTTCATTTTTATGTAAAAATGAACCGTTTTCGAGATAATCGCATGCCTCACGTTAAATGGACCATCCTGTATATATTTTTTTATACATTACTTATTTTGTAAGATTAAATAAAGAAAATAATTTTAATAAATAAAATTTTGTAAAACATTTGAAAGCTCAATAAATATATTATTATTATTACATGGTCAATGATAATTCATTGAACCTTTCCTGTTGGGGAACCCCCAAAGATGTTAATTGTTTAATTGGGAATAATGGGAAGATTATGGCAGCTTTTAATAGGGATATTAACTAGTGATGGGAGGTTAATAGTGGATTCAAGGTATATAGTATCATCGCGGACATTTAGGATGAAAAATTTAATAAAGTATTATTTACCAGCAGTTTAATAACAAATTGGAGGTAGTAAACATATCATTCAAAATAGTTCACTAAAATAACAGGATAGACTGTTAATACTCAAATAACTCTAAAATAAAACCAATTTTTTCTAGAATAAGCGTCTTATTTCATCCTAATAAAGTCTTATTATATCTAAAAGTCTGATACTCGTCCTTTTCGTTCCCAATCTCCATATCGAGTTGGTTCCGGTCCTGTGGGTCCCCCTATTTCTCCCGTATGTGGATTAGTATTATCAGGCCAAGGATCAAATGCGCTAGAATTTTCAGCTTCTGGATGTTCCTGCGGTAAATCTTCTAATGACTTAATATGCGAAGTTTCTCTCAGTTTCTGTTTGAATTCTTTCATCCTAGGACTTAGAGGTTTTCCCTCTGAAGATGAAGAACGTAATAATATCTCTAAAAGTTTATAAAAAAAGTGGGTTTTTCTTTACTTACATATAACCAAGATTTTATATTGATAAAATAAAAGTTTTGAGGTTATGTTTTACATTTATATTAAATTATAAGAAAGAATTGATTTACCGTTAACTTGTCGTACGGCGAACCTTGCATTCGCCTCAACATGTACATCATAATACTCATTTTATAAGAAATTGGGTGAATTTAAAGCAATGAATTTCGTGTCTAAATTGTTTGTTTTGTTTTTGTTTGACAATAAAAATGGTGTTGACAGGTTATTATTATTAATACCAACCTAAAATGATAAAATTAATGTATTTGTTGATTTAATTTAGATTTATTAATTTATTTTTACTTAAATTTGAATAAAAATTGATAAATTTTTAGTTAAAACAATAATTTTAATTAAATTAATACGAAATAATTTTTGTCAAGAGATGGCGCTTATGTATCTAATCTGAAAACAACAATGATTTCATCAGATGACAAATAGTTTATAACCGTTGAAGAATTTATGTAAAATTATTGTTGATAAATAAATAATGTTCGGTAAAAAGAAAGCGACCCCTAAAAGGGATCATTCAGGAAAGAATTTATCCCAAGTAAGTACTTAAATTCGCCTAAATGTTAACTATAACATGTTTTTTTTTATCAGTATGGATTATTTGATGTCCCCACGAATTTATCCTTTGAAAATGATGACGATATTGATGAAGGGGACAGCGATTTAGAAGCCGAATTAGCCGCTTTGTCTGGAGGTGGGAAGCCAAAAAAGCCACCAAGAAAAAAGCATGTTCCGCAAGCAGATTTAGATTCGATGGTAGCAGAAAGTATGAAAGATATCCCTTCTGACGAGGAATTATCAGGAGATGAAGATGATCCTGATTTATTAAATGAATTAAGCGAATTAACTGGAGTTGATCATGATGAAGAACCTCTCATACAAGTTGAAGAAAAATCTAGTTCTAATGATGATTCTTCCGGTGTGGTTTCTTTGTTAAAAGAAAGATTAAAACTTTATGAAACTGCTGAATCTAATGCTAAGGAAGCTGGGGAATCTAGTCGTGCAAGAAGGTTTAATAGGGGTGTTAAAACTCTAAAAGATCTTGTAAAACAAGCTGAAAAAGGTGGGGTTATTAATCCTGATGATATCCCACCGGAAGTTACCGTTAATATTCGTAAAAATGATAATAAAAATGACACTGTATTGAGTCCTACTCGAGTAGCCCCTCCCCCTCCACCACAAAAACCGCAAATTGATGCAAATAATCAAAATCAAGTAATAAATGAAGAACCCAAACCAATAGAGTTATCTGAAGATAATAAAAAATTATTGGAATTATGTAACCAAAGAAGAAATGAATACAAAATGGCAGCAGTTATAGCAAAAAAAGCTGGTGACTTAGAAGCAGCTTTAACATATGTAAAAGTTGTAAAAGCTTTTGAACAAGTTATAAAAGCTGTTGAAAATGGTCAAACGGTCGATGTAAGTGATATGCCAGGTCCCCCACCTCCATATGAACCTAAAAAAGAAGAAAACTCAGTTGAAAAACAAGAAAACGTTGATGTTCCTCAAATTCCGGTTGAAAATGAAGAACCTGAACAACTTATAACAGCTGGTAGCTTAGAAGAAGCCCTCCAACAACGATTAGAGGTTTATAAAAAACAAGAAGATTCAGCAAAAGAACAAGGAAATTCAAGTAAAGCTCGGCGAATGGGGAGAATTGTAAAACAATTTGAACAGGCAATTAAATCACATAAAAGCGGAAAACCCGTTCCTTTGGATGAGTTGCCTAATCCACCTGGTTATGCCCCATTAATTGATCCAAAACCTCAACCTAAATTACCCGAAAATGAACCGAAACCTACCCCGAAAAAAGAAGAAGAAAATAAAATCGTTGTTACCCCAAAAAAACATCAAACAACCAGAGCTGAAAAACAATTAAAATTTCTTCTCGCCCAACAAAAAGAATTTAAATTAGCGGCGATTAACGCTAAGAAAAAAGGGGAAGTCGATCAAGCCAAAGAATATCTTCGGGCGGCGAAAGGTTTTGATCCGTTAATTGAAGCGTCTCAAGGTGGTTTACCTGTAGATATAAGTTCTTTACCACTTCCGCCTTCAGCTCGTTCTAAATTAGAGAATGAATTTGAACTTGTAATGCCAGACGAATGTACGGAAGAGGATACGGATAGAGATGTCTTAACGCGACTTGAATCTCAATTAAACAAACAATTAAAAATGTGTCTTACAACGCGCGATCATAATAAGGCTATTGGAGATGTTGCGGGGACGAATCGATTCGAAAGATTAGCACTTTCCGTATCGAAAGATCTTGATTTAGTACGTTTGGCGAAAAAGAGTGTGGATGCGGCTATACCTACGTTTCATTATGAAATGAAAGAGTTTTCGGTTGTTAAAACTTTTACGGAATTGAATGATAACGATGTCGAATTGTTTATTATAAGGGGGATCAATTATAATTGTGCTAATCCAAAGGAAATTGATACATATGTTAAATTTGAATTTCCTTATCCACAAGTAAGTTTTATTTTGGGAATTTTGCAATTAAGTAATCTTTTTTTTTTTGTAAATTTAGGAAGAAACTTACAAAGAAAAGACGAGCACAGTTAAAAATACAAATAACCCAGAGTATGATTCAAAATATTTAATTCCGATTCAAAGGAGCGTTAGGACTTGTTTGAGGGTTTTTAAAAGACATTCTGTTAAATTTGAGGTTTATTCTAAAGGGTGAGTTAATTAGGAATAATGAATTATATAAAAATCTTAACCCTTTAACGGAAGTATAACCAAAAAAACCCTAACTTTCAATGGATCACGTTTGTTTACTTGACTATGTTTCGAAATCTTGAACTATTACAGCTGGAGTATCCCAGGGGAGCTATCTCTTCTGTCTTCTACAGACCGTTTTAAAAGTAACGGATAAATTCGATAAAATTATTATAAACAATATATGAAAAAAATCGCAGAAACGGGTCTAAAGATTTATATTTTTTGCAATTTTTTGGTGTATATTTTAAATTTTTTCCGCCATTTTTAAACGAGTTATGACGTCATCGAAGGTTTTTTTAAATAGAACCTCATTTTTTATATCGGAATTTGAAAGGGATTTTCTTCTGAATTATGTACAAATATTAATATCGGTTACATAAGAAAATTTTCGAGAAAAATTAATTTAAAGTTTCATTATTTCTCATTAATTTGATATAAAAAATAGTAGTAGCCGTGCGTAACCATGGCAACCAATTGTTTTGATTTAAAATTTCCAACTGTCAAAATTCGATTTGAAACAGTTTATTGTGCGTTAATGAGATTATTTTGAGTGGTATTGTGGAGTTTCTTGTGTTAATTGTTGTTATTCGTTGCTATTTGTTGCTATTCTCGCTATTCGTTGTTATTTTTTTGTTGTTTATTGGTCTTATTGTTTATCTATTATTGGTTATTTTTTAATTATTGACTGTTCGATAAATAAGAAAGTAATAATGACGCTTAATGAAACTGCAAGAATAGAGATTCCTATGATGATTGGTTCCGGAAATAGAGTCCGAACGTATAACGTAGTCCGTGCAGTGTTTAAAAGAAATGAAATTTACAGTTTCCTGTAAATTATAACTAAAAATTAAGAAAAACATATTTCTGATATTTGAAACAAATACATTTGTTGAACTATTTAATTTATATTTGTTTTATACAAAAGTTGGAATAGATTGCATTATTTCACATTTTTTATTAATATTTATTAATATATTTGATATTATTATTAAATGACTTAGTAAATTATTGATAGATGGCGCTCATACATATATTTCTTAATTCAAATAATCATAGATTACGAAAAGTTTAACATGTTAGAATGTTACATATTAGAAAATAAAGTAAATTTGTCATAATAACTCAAAATCTACAACAGAAAATTTTTTTTTGACTACTTCATCAAATTCTCTGTAAAAAAGTGTTCATATAATGTCTTAGTTCTAATACTCCACCTATAATAATAACCAAGATAATTCCACTTGCTGGTTTTACGATATTTTCAATTTTGGCCTCTAGGGGAAAAACAAAAGACGATAACGCTATGAGGTTTTCGGCATTAGCAGTTTCTCGAAAAACGAGATCATGACATGTAAGCTACTTTTTTTCTAACTCTTCGAAGACATCGAATTTGAACCACTCTGTACATAATTCAGAAAAAATCCTCTTTCAAATTCCGATATAAAAAATAGGGTGTTCTATTTAAAAAAAACTTCGATGACGTCATAACTCAAAAATTTATTTTATCGAATTTATCCGTTACTTTTGAAACGCACTGTATATGTACTGTTGGTGACTGCATTAAATTACAAAGAGATATATAGATTAAAACGATAGAGTCATTTATTGTTATAAAAACAAACTTAAAACTGCAAAATGCTCTAAAGTTTGTTTTAGCAAGAAAAGATATAACATTGATTTTTCATATCTACCTAGTATTAAATCTATTAAATGTGTCACTTCTATCAAAGATCTTGGTGTGATTCTAGATTCGAAACTATTATTTTCAGATCACATTGAGTATGTCTTTCTGAAAGCTATCCCCTTCATTGGTGCTAACCTGTCAGCATCTCGAATTGAATAAATAAAATAAATAGATGGAATTTGATTATTTAATGATTATAACTGGACAAAGACAACAACGACATGGTCAAACATTCTTATATTATTTTAATTAATTAAAAATATGTAAGAATGAGAATAAATAAGATAAGATACCACTATCTTAACGTAATTGGCACACCTTTGAAAACTGTGTTAATTACATTCATTAGCTTCCTCTTGGTATGTGTTGTCTGCGTTGTAACCATCTTTATGATCCTAATTTTAATCGTTACCTTTTACTGCAATCAAATGAAACATCGCGTTTACACAGTGTAATTTTTCAATGTTATTTTTTGGCCCGAGTTTTAAAACCAGAGAGGGTTTTAAGTAAACTGTAGTTACGAATTTAATTACTTATTTGTTTAAACATAATAAAAATCACGGCGTACCTACTTACTTTGTCCCACATAAAATGCAATATATGAATATAATTTGACATTACACTAAAACTAGCACTAGACTAATACTAGTACTAGAACTAACACTAGACCTAGAAACATTCTCTTTAGCTGTACCTCTCTTAAGATGGCTGGTAGGCAGCGCTAGTTAGCATAAAATATCACTATGTTGCATATTTTTATTGAACTAAAACTAGACGCACGGCTAAACCCGAATTTTTCTAGATCTAGTGTTAGTTCTAGTTTTACACTAGGACTATTACCAGAAGTAACACATCTCGAATTAAAAAATAGAGTATAGTTATATTTTAGTCTGTTAAAGGGTTAACATTTTAATACTAAAAGCACACCTTAATTTATGTTTCTTCCTTTACTTTTTTTCAATAAATTTTATTGTTTCTTTCATTAACTTTTTTTTGTAACAATTTTTCGACATGATTTTGGGGTGTGCTAGCTGTTGCGCTAGCGAATTATGTTGTTTCAGGGGTTTCTTCAGATCAGACGCTTTGTTAGGGACGGTGAACGTTAAATTACAACCATTGGAGACGCAGTGTGAGATTCACGATAGTTTTGATGTAAGTTAGAATACTCATCTTTTAAAATATATTTGTATATATTTTTTTTATTAATAGATTATGGATGGTAGGAAAAAAACTGGTGGTAAACTTGAAGTTAAAATTCGAGTTCGAAATCCGATGGTAAGCAAACAAATTGAGCAAATTTCCGAAAAGTGGCTTGTACTTGATCACTAGAGTTTTAAAGAAAATATATAAAGTGTTGCTAATTTTTTAGGCGTATTAAGTTTAAGTGCGCTTTCTGTATTATATTCATTGTATAGTTTTAAACAATTGGAGATTTTTTTATAGATATCACTATTTTATAGCTTTATAAAATAATTTAATCAAATAATAAAATATTTAAACATGATTTTGTGATGATGTGCTTAAATCCACGTATTATTCCAAAAATCCGTCAATATTGACCAGTTTATTACGACTCATATTTGGTTAAAAATTTAAACATTGTGTACAAAAGTAAGTTATGTCTACAATAAATTAAATAAGTGTTGGACTTCACGTATCTGCGTCAGAGATCGCCATCCAAAGTCTAAATTTGGAGTCACTCCGTCTTGAAAAATAAAATCAATAAACCAAAAAATTTTAACTTATATTTCACCTATTAAGAAACGTGTAGAAAGTTAAAAAAATTGATTGCATCATTAGTTTGGAACGAAATGAATTTAGAGTATCAAATGGGGCCCGGGACTGATGCAATTGAGTAGGTTTAAATTAATTTTTTGGCACAATAAAGTAGTCTTAGTGGTGTAATACAGTTGCAATACCACTATGGACTTTGTACTGATCCCGTTCTATTTTTACGCTGGTAATTCCGCCTAACATATCCACTTTAACACTGCATCCAAATTAGTAGAGAATAAGACGTATAAAAACAATATTATTCCCGTTAAGTTAAAGCTGACGTCAATTTCCCAATCACCGCCTTTTAAAAAGCCAACACCTCCTTTTCTCTCTTCAGGTCAACGGTTTCACTTGTACACATTTTAACCAAGGTCTTTTGGTATTTTTGACCAAATAAAAAAAATTAAATTCATTCTTTATTTATTTACAAAAATATCTTACAAAAATAAATTTGACAAGTAGGTATTAATTGTAAAAGGCACAATAGAATATTGTTTTTTAGACACACCTACAAAAGCTGTAATAAACAGAGATAAGCGTTTAGAAGCGATAGATTTATGTCGCAATTTTGCGTGAATACGTCTAGATAAAGCCAAACCCACTCGAGGACAATCATTTCTCTAGAACGAAAACATTAAAATTTTCCATCACTGCGTGGATAAATGGCATTTTGCTACCTTTGCCCGGTAACGAATGTTGTTGACCGAGGATAAAGTTAAACGTTGTAAATTTTAAGTATTTAAGGAACACGATATCAAAAAATTTTTTAATAATAAAATTTTGAATCAAATAAATTAAAGAAAAAATTGTTATTTATTTTACTAAATCACATAATACGCAAAATCTACATAAATATTTATATTTATTTACTTTTAACTCAAGCCACATCCTTTTTCCTGCCTTTGTTTACCAAAAAATAATTTAGAATAATCTTTTTTATCATGTTGTTTTATTCCAATCATTACAGGTGGTCTTAAAAAAATAATTTACATCTTTAAGAATTTCAAAGTAGTTTAAAAAAATTCTTTTACTCGTTAAACAATGAAAAAGCATCCTTGGAATTTAAAATTCCAAGTTGTAACTTCGTTAACATTTTTATACATCTGAGTCAACTTTTTAAACAGTTTTAATTAAAACAAAATGTGAAAATCGGGATAATCCCGATTTATTAACAATAAATCTCATTTCATAATAATCTCATTTAAATCCTTTTAAATCTACTGTTTATTATCAATACGTTAGAAAAAAATTTATTTGTTACCCAAATCTTTTTTTTTTTGTCAACAAATCTAATTTAATTGTTTCTACTTTAATTTGAATTGTAACATTGTAAAAATAAATAATTAATTATTGATCTCTACACCTTCGTGTACACAACATTTTTACACAATGTTCCAATTACTATTAGTTTTTATGGAGCTTTGGACATGATTTTTAGTTGTTGAACAGATCCATATTAAAAGATGTCAGAAAGCTAATCATGGATTTGAATAATAAAACTAGAAGGATGTCTCGGAGGGTATTGAATGATAACTTGGACGATATTGAGATGTTCTAGGGATTCTGAGGAATGTGTTAGGCGATATTGAAGTTTATCAAACACAAAATTGATGAATGAAATATTGGACTACGAATAGGGTGATATTGAGAAATATTCGGGACGAGATTGCTATTTGGGATGGCTTTGAAAGATTTCAAGATATTAAAGAAGGACGGCGATAAGGCAAAATAGGTACAACCCAAAATATGCCGAAATTGTAGCAGAAGAGCTACCAAAGTACCTGCTGAGGGAGTGAGGTGAGAAGGAGAAGAAGTTGGTTTAGATGTGGCAATGAAGAAAGCGCCAATAGATATTAGATGGAGGATGAAGAGAGGGGTGCAGACTATGTGGGAAGGATAGACAATTTGCTTGGAATCCTTAATGTCATAAAGATATTTATCTCGAATGATAATGTAGGATACTTAGGGTTGAGAGTTATCAAAGAGAGCATGTCTAGGAATGTTTGGGACTACAATCCAATTTGTCAGAAACAATATTGAAGGATGTTTGAAACTATGTTAGGCACAGGAGTAATGCTGAGAGACGATTTAGATGATTGGGCCAGGATGATATTCAAAGATATCAGAAACGATACTAAATCTTTGAGAAGACAACTCAAGAACAATTTAAAAAAATGTCCCGGACAACGTTAAGAGATGCCCGGGATGATACTCACGAATATCAGAAACAATAAGAATAATTGGAATAATCTAGAAATGTCCCAAAAACAATATTGAGAAGTACTAGGAATGATATAGGCAGATATCCGGGGTGATGTTGAACGGTGGCCGAGATGATTGAGGTGAGGTTTGCAGGGATGATATTGAGAGTAGTCCGAGAAGACGTGCTGTAATGTCAGACTATTGAGAAACATCTAGGATGTTGTTGATGTATGTCAGGGCTGATATTGAGGGATGATTTAGACCAAGTTGAGGTTGGATTGGGTTTAGGTTGGGTTGGGTATGATATTTAGAGATATCTATGTATAATAAGCATCATATATATGCCTGGGACGTTGTTGATATGTACCAAGGACGATTCTGGGGATGTCCGGGATGATATAAGTTGTACCTAGGGCGATATTGAGCGATGGCTGAGATCCTTGGATGAGTCCATGTTGAGGTATACCAGACAGAACGAACTTGGACTATATTGAAATGTCTATTTGAAATATTAAAGAAGGACGGCGATAAGGCAAAGTAGGTACAACCCAAAATATGCCGAAATTGTAGCGGAAGGGCTACCAAAGTACCTGATGATGGATTGAGGTAAGGAGGAGAAGAAGTTGGTAGCCAGGTTTAGATGTGGCAATGAAGAATGTGGCAATGATGTGGCAATAGATATTGGATGGAGGATGTGAGTCTTTACACCATCTACAGGTGGAGTGCAGTGCGTTGAGAGAAGAGGAGATGGATTGGAGGGTAACCTTCTGGGAAACAATAAATTATTATTATTATTAAAGACAGCTTGGAATCCTTAATGTCATAAAGGTATTTAGGGTTATCTCGAATAATATTGTAGGATACCTAGGGTTGAGAGATATCAAAGAGAGTATATCTAGCAATGTTTGGGAGTACAATACAATTTGCAGAAACAATATTGAAGGATGTTTGAAACTACACTCAGCGGCTCAAAAAAACCATCACCTAGTATGATAACCAGTTTCAAAATGAAATAACTTTTCAACGTATTGGTCGATTTGAATAAGGGTTTTTTTATTTGGAAGGTCTACCATTTGTCAATTTTCTGTAGGTGCCTTCCCCATTTTAGAGATCTTCAATTTCAGTAATGGTGAATAACGCTAATGCGTGTTTTCTTCCTACACTTTGAAGCTTGCTGTGGGGTGCACCAACAAAAGGAATTAATTTTAAACACAAGGAGCTTGTAGTCTCCTCTGTTCTGATCACTTCTTTTTTTTGTTCAACGTCCTATTATTGTTAACACCAAAGTTACAAGCTCTAAAGAATAACGCAGCTTCTTCGGCAGCATCATCAGAAATTAAAAGAAGATATAGAAATTGACGAGAACATTTCAGTAACGTTTAGTGTCGTTACTGTCGTTGAATGTTGCTAGACAAGAAAAATGCCTTTAAGTCATGCAGAAGTTGCTTAGGCAGTGGCTTTGGTGGAAGATGGACGCAGCATTCGTTATGTGACTAGCACTTTCATCAGACAACCTGGGTCAGGAAGAAGACGTACAACCCCGTAATGATCAATATATTGTAACGTGTTAAGAAATCGACATACCACAGTAGTTGAGATAAGAAATCGTCTGGAGCAAGTGCGTCGGGTGAACGTCAGTGAACGCACAGTAAGAAAGATATTTGAAGAAGCGGGGTTGACATCACAGAGATCAGCAACTGGACCAGAGTTGTTTCGAGAACATCGTGTTGCTCGATTACAATTTGCAGAGTATTGACCAATGCAGAGTGGCGATACGTACTGTTCTCAGACGATCGAGGTCAGATTCGGCAAAATGAAATTCATAACCTGATTCTACCATGATATTATATTACCATTCAAACGAGGAAAGGAAATTGATTTACTTGTCACGGTTTAATTAAATTTTATGGACATCCATGACTTGCTTTAATTTCTGATGGCGCTGCAGAACAAGCTGCGTTATCTTTTAGAGGTTGTAACTTTGGTATTAACAACAATAGAAACTTGATCAGAAACAGAACTGATCAAACTGATTCAAAGTGTAGGAAGAAAACACGCTTTAGCGATATTTGAAGAACGCCAAAATGGGGAAGGCACCTACAAAAATATTGGACAAGTAGACCTTGACGGAAAAGTTATTCAAATTGAGCAATACGTTCAAAAGTTATTGCAGTTTGAAGCTGGTCAAGATTTTAAGTGATGCGTTTTTATGCCGCTAAGTGTATGTTAGGCACAGGAGTAATGTTGAGAGACGATCTGGATGATTTGTCCAGGATGATATTCAAATAGATCAGAAACGATATTAAATCTCTCGGGGCTATGTTTTGAGCAATATCAAAAATTGATCAAAAGCAGATAATCTTCATAAAATTTGAAAAGTGACTTGGCAAAATTTTAATCTTTTATCACACAATTACTATTAAAACATTAAAAATAGTAATTTCCACCAGGAACACATTTCTATCACGCTTTTTAAATCCCCTTTTAAAAAATCCTTTACAAAATCCCCGACCACGAACACGGACATCAATCGAAACAACAACAAAGATAAAGTAAGTTCCTTCTCATGAATCTAGAAAAAGATGGAAGTTAGGCACGACTTACGTGTGTATAATGTGCACACACCTACCGAGTGGTTTCTATATTGATTCACGCTACAGTTCGGTGACGTCACGTTGGATTCACGCTGTCGTGACGTCAAGATCACGACCGGACCAGCCTCGATCAGCCGGTGTTCACGTGAATACCACGATGGTGTTCACGCGGTCATCGCGTGCTCCGCTACTTTGCGATTGGACCAAATCGGACGAGCCCCACGTTTTCTTAACGGGGATTGGTTGAAACGGATTCGGTTGCGGGCGGGCGAGACACAATAACACTACGAGGCACACAGCTAGAATTTCATTTTTCAACGGTACAAAGAGTGCTGAGCATCGGAGCTGCTTCGAATTCATAAAGTAAATTGCGAGTTTTGTTTTAAAACAAAAAAATGAGTGAATTGTTGTTGTCACCGCCTTCTACGCCGGAAATGATTAAAATAACTGTAAGTCAAAGAAAATTTTTATTAATTATTTTGTGCTAATTATTTTTGTTTTTGATTTATTTAGGAAGTTTTTGAGGAAAACATGAAAAGGAAAAGAGAAATCTCTTCGCCTTTTAGTCATCATCACCAGCCTTTAACCCCTCAACCTTCAGATTCAGAAGCTGAGGATTACCACGATTATCCATTGAAGAAAAGGATTTGTAAATATGAAATTGGAAAAAGCTTTGAGAAGCCTATGACGCCTCCTCCGGAAATTGAAGCTGAAGATATTGTTCAAGATCCGCAACGTTCTTTAACTTCATCAGTGAATCATAATAATATTAATAATAATAATAATAACAACAACATGAGGACGTTTTCAGTGATAATGAAAGCGAATAAAGATGGGTCGTGTTCTCCAATACCACAAAACACAATAAATTTAGTGAAAACATTAAAATTTAAAATGGATAAACCACAAATTTCATCTCAATCCTTTCAAATTCCTCAACTCCCCCTCTCAAATGAGCCCCCTCAAAAAATAACCCAAGAAAGCACTCTCCAACCAAATCCAAAATTCTTAGTGAACCAATTAAAACCGAATCTCCAACCTTTAGCACCAAAACTCCTTACAAATCAACCACCACGAACGGTTTTCCTCTCACAAGATGGTCAAATAATCCCTGCTCAACTCGTACTTTTAACCCAACCGACTCAAATCTTACCGCAAAGTACTCAAATTTTAACTCAAAATCAAACGGCACAAACGCGAAGGAGAGTTTATGAGTGTAAATTTGAAGGGTGTGGTAAAAATTATTTTAAATCGTCGCATCTGAAAGCTCATAATAGGACTCATACCGGTGAGAAACCGTTTGTGTGTCAATGGGATCAATGCGGAAGGAGATTTTCAAGGTCGGATGAGTTATCGAGACATAAAAGAACTCACACTGGGGAGAAAAAGTTTGAGTGCACTCATTGTCAAAGGAAGTTCATGCGATCTGATCATCTCGCGAAACATGTTAAGAGACATACGAAATCGTCGAGGCCCGTCGTTCAACAACAACAAAGATGTTTTGTTTCGATGTTGAGGCCTTTACAACCTGCACCGATTGAAAGTTGAAGAAAGTTAAAATAAGTTAAACAATTCAAACAAAAAGGATCTGGAAAAAGACTTTTAATAAATTTTTTTATGATTACAAATAATTAAAAAAAAAATTGAATGACTGATGACATTCCGCTTTAAAACCAAGAGTATTATCTGTGATTTTTAAGTTTTTTTTTCTTTGTGTGTATTATTTATTGTTCGTACTTCTTAGATTCTTAAGATTATCTCGTTTCTTTTAATAAATAAGACGAGATTATAAAAATTAAAGTTTAAAGAAAGTTATTTATATTTATATACGAATAAAAATTATCTTAAAAAAAAAAAATAGTTTCATTATTTAATAATCCTAATGAATTAAATTAGATTAAATAACAAATAATCTTTTTTAATCAACAAATACAAACGATTGTAAATTTTTGGTTCAAGGTCGACTTTTAAAATAACCGATTATTTTTTTTTAGATTTGTTATCTATTTTTATTTGGTGTGTCAACAAATTCAATGATTCATTTATACTAATCAACGTTTTTTTATTAACAAACTTTTTAAGTGATGTTTTATAAATATCCTGTTATATCAAATCATTCGTTATTCACGTGATCATTAAGCGAGAAAGTTTTACAGTAATACCTCTTAATATTCGTTATGGAACGTTAACTTGCATGCTTGAAACGATTCGAATGCACTTTATAAAGTTTATAAATACAAGAGAAGAAAATACTTTTAATAATAACAAAAAAATTTTATGTTTGGAAAGTTTTAAAGGGTTTTAAAATAAATCCCTCCCCACACGTGGACTTTGTATTAAACGGGCGTAGATCCAAATAATCACAACTGAGAGTTTTTGATGTAAACAAGGTTGGCCCATCCACTAAAAAAGAGATTCTTTTGGCTTGCATTCAAAATCTCAAATCTAGTTTTAACCAGTTAAACAAAAATTACAACTAAATTAAATTAATTTTTATGTGTAACTTCCTCATTCCCATCTTTACTCAACTTCCCCATATCGGCTTCAAAAATAATCTTGCTTATTTTGTGGATCACAACCGATCGGATATGTTCTTCCATTCGGCTCAAACTTAATCCGACGTAATCACCAAAAGCGATCGATTCATCGTTTCTAATTGTTAACGATTGAGAGTTTGTTGAAATTGCGTCACTGTTGTCCATAGCGGATGGTGGAGATAATAAATTTCGATCTTCTATTACAACATCGTCTTCTTTAATAATACAAATTTGTTTTTGAGATTGTTGCGGTTGTTGGGATGCTTCTTTTGAGTTTTGATAGTAATTTTGAGAAAATGTTGAGTCGTAATTTCGATTTAGGTTTGCCTGCCAACAAAAAAACTAAAAATTTTATCAAAATTATATCAATTTTATCTTAAGCATAATGTAGTGCGGTCAAGCATGACCTGGTAATAATAAACATCCTTTATAAGCTCCTAGATAGACAACTATACACCTCGACGTCCCCTTGGAGACTGTATTTTGATGAATCAAAGATAATTCAAGATCATACAAAAAGCTAAACAACCAAAGTATAATCTCAGAAAGTTTAGGAACGAAGTAGTAAAGTACCAAGAGGAGAAAGACATATAAAAACAATAATACGTATATACAAATTAAGTAAATACCTCATGGGTGATGAAAGGAAATACAAATCTTGGATAACGGAGAATAGTTTGATGCTCATGGAAGAACGAAGGAAGCAAATGAACAATCCACCAGCTTACAAAAGATGAGCAGCATGAGATTTGCCATAAAATGAAGGTTTTGCAAGACAAATTTGACGTGTTTAATGTGCATAAGAAGATAAGAGAGGTTAGAGGAAGGTTCAGGAACCAAACTGTGGGAAGACTTCTAAATAATGCTTGTGATTAAGGTAGATATGAAGGATACTTCGAAAAGGTACATAAAACAACACTGTGGGTTACTGAAATATATGTTCTGCGAAGTGATTATTGCTAAAAACCTTTTATAAACACCGTTTTTTTTTATACGTCTCAAGGTCAAGCTTATAGTTTTAAAACACCACAAAAAAATTGTTATAAATCGTCTTCATCGCTAAATTCATGTTCATCACTAAAGAATTTTCGAGGTTTATAATGAATGGAAGAAAATGTTTTAAACAAATATCACCCATATGAATTATTTGAGTATAAATATAAAATCGGAAATTAAATTGTCTTTTTGAACGTCAAATGTCAATGTGACAACTCATTTTAAAAACATGAAATAATAAAATTCCCTGTTAATGTTACCAACTGTAATAAACTTTACAAAAATTTGACAATTATAAAAAAAATTTTATAAATTTCGAAAAAAATTAATTCAATTTGAAAATGATTCTTTTTGAGAACCGCTGAAAACGTGTTCTAGAACATGAAGTAATATTATGAATAATTAAAGATCGATTGGTAATCGATTGATACTGAAACTATTATAATTGTGTTGTTTGTTTTAAAAGAAATCAATAAATTTATTTAATATAAATTAACTTACTTTACTTAAAGCGATTTCTGTACGCCGTTTTAAATGTTCTAATTTTTTCCATTGTTCGTGCCAAAAACGAACTGTTCGTTCGGTTGGAGACGTTTTATTTAAATTATTATCCAATTTATTATTATTATCTAAACCTTGTTGGTAATGTTTTATTGATTCAGAAACGTTTAAACCGCAAGAAAAATATTCGAAAAATGTTTCTTTTAATGGTGCGTTTAGTGCTGTTTGTCTTATTAAGTTATCTTCCATATCAATTGGATGGGTGTGTTTATTTTTAATTATTATAACACCACATAAACCTTCCTATAAAAAAAATTGTTTTGATTAAATTCATTTTTATTATCATTTTTGATTACCCTAATGTGGATATCACTAGCTCTTGTATAAGAAGTATTTATTTTAATTTGAAAATTAATTTTAGCCGGACATAAAATATCTTTTGTTATGCCACGTTTTTCTTTATGTTTTCTTGAAGAACTGTATTGACAAACATATTGTTTTGAACAAACAATTCTTTGGCCTTCACTTATTACTTTTGAAACGACCCAATGGGTGCAAGTATTTTGACCAAATTCCTTAATCCATTTTGCGATATCAGTCATATTTTGAATCCCACTTCTTACAACTGTTATTCCTTCCTCGTCAGTTGGCGAAACAATTTTATTTATAAAACATTTTGGCAAATTTGTATCGTTTATAATTGATGACATCATTATTTGTTTAATTTTTTTTTTAAACAACGTTTTAGTGTCAGATTCTAAAGTGCAACTGAAAGACGAGTTGTTGGGGTAGTTCATAACAACTGTAATTTTAATGTTACCTGGCCATCGAATGAAGGAAAAACGGTCAATAGAATCGGACAAGGTCAGATGATTGTCAGCGTTTCTTAAACATTCCTTAAAAAAATGAAAATTGGATCGATATCGATACCACGATAATATTTGTGCATTCGATCAAAACGTGGTGTTGTATATAAATAAACGGACGTTTTATTCGGTTTATGTTTACCCCCGATTAATCTTTAAATCGGGAACGTTGAGAAACATCGAAAACATCATCACTCGTCGTCCTCGTGGTCGAACGTTTGTTGATAATCAAAAAGATTTCATAAAAAACAGTTCATCTCGAGAGAATTATTAAGATATTTTAAGTGCTTTTGATACTTTTTTATTCGCGTGCTCGTATTAATTTTTTTTTGTAAATTTCCATTCATTTATTTCGATTTTATCTTTGAAAATGACGAATTTTTATGACACAATAAATTTTAATTAATGATTAACTGATTAATTGTTATTTTAAGGTAGTGAAATAAATCAATTTACGTGAACTTGTTAAACGGAATTTTGTTTACTCACGATTTTTTTTCTGGTTTTGTTATGTAAATTTTAAAATGTGTTAATTTAAGCAGTGAAATTGTTTATCCAACTGGTTAAGAGTAATTTTTTAAAGTATCAAGGTCTGAAATTTTTCCATTGATGGATAAAAAAAAGTGTTATTAACATTTTTTTGCTATCTGGCAATGAAAACTTTATCAATTTGCGTCAGTCTAATAATTACAATGTCGTTTAATCAACTTCAATTATAACTAAACCAGCTTTTACTTTGTTGAGATGTCACAATGATATCAACGTTTTGAAATCAATTATTTTCGACAATTATGTTTAAAAAATCGCGAAAAATCGGATTATTAACATATTTTGATTAAATATTAGGAAATTATAGAAGAAGATATGGACTTTTTCATAAACCCAACCACATTTGAAAATTTCTATTCATCTTTGAGATAATAATTTTTGAAATCAACCCAAATTTATTAGTTAACAATTTTCGATCATCATTTTTAAAAAATTGTAAAAAATCGAATTCTTAAAATATCTTAATGAAACATTGGGAAATTATTGAAGAAGATATGTACTTTCTCATGAATCAAACCGCATTTAAAAATCTCTATTCGTCTTTGAGATAATAACTTTTGAAATCAACCCAAATTTTTAGTTAACAAATTTCGACCATCAGCTTTAAAATATCGCAAAAAATTGAATTCTTAAAATATCTTGATGAAATATTCGTCATTTATAGAAGAAGATATGTACTTTCTAATGAAACAAGCCGTATTTGAAAATCTCTATTCGTCTTTGAGATAAGAATTGTTGAAGGCAACCCGAATTTTTATGATTTTATGAAATCAACAATTATCGACATTTTTAAAAATTCGCAAAAAATCGAATTCTTAAGATATGTTGATGAAATATTCGAAGATCGTAGAAGAAGATATGTACTTTCTCATGAATCAAACCGCATTTGAAAATCTCTATTCGTTTTTGAGATAATAACTTTTGAAATCAACCCAAATTTTTAGTTAACAATTTTCGACCATCAGTTTTAAAATATCGCAAAAAATTTAATTCTTAAGATATCTTCATGAAATATTCGTCATTTATAGAAGAAGATGTGTACTTTTTCATAAAACAAGCCGTATTTGAAGATCTCTTTTCGTCTTTGAGATAAGAATTGTTGAAGTCGACCCAAATTTTTAGTTAACAATTTTCGACCATCATTTTTAAAAAATCGCTAAAAATCGAATTCTTAAGATATCTTGATGAAACATTCGAAGATCGTAGAAGAAGATATGTAGTTTCTCATGAATCAAACCGCATTTGAAAATCTCTATTCGTTTTTGAGATAATAACTTTTGAAATCAACCCAAATTTTTAGTTAACAATTCGACCATCAGTTTTAAAATATCACAAAACATTGAATTCTTAAGATATTTTGATGAAATATTCGTCATTTATAGAGAAAGATGTGTACTTTCTCATGAAATAAGCCGTATTTGAAGATCTCTTTTCGTCTTTGAGATAAGAATTGTTGAAGTCAACCCGAGTTTTTATGATTTGAATCAACAATTTTAGACATTTTTAAAAAATCGCAAAAAATCGAATTCTTAAGATATATTGATGAAATATTCGGAGATTGTAGAAGAAGATATGTACTTTCTCATGAATCAAACCGCATTTGAAAATCTCTATTCGTTTTTAAGATAATAAATTTTGAAATCAACCCAAATTTTTAGTTACAATTTTCGATCATCAGTTTTAAAATATCGCAAAAAAATTAATTCTTAAGATATCTTCATGAAATATTCGTCATTTATAGAAGAAGATGTGTACTTTCTAATGAAACAAGCCGTATTTGAAAATCTCTATTCGTCTTTGAGATAAGAATTGTTGAAGTCAACCCGAATTTTTATGATTTTATGAAATCAACAATTTTCGACATTTTTTAAAAAATCGCAAAAAATCGAATTCTTAAGATATCTTGATGAAATATTCGAAGATCGTAGAAGAAGATATGTACTTTCTCATGAATCAAACCGCATTTGAAAATCTCTATTAGTCTTTGAGATAATAACTTTTGAAATCAATCCAAATTTTTAGTTAACTATTTTCGATCATCATTTTTAAATAATCGCAAAAAATTAAATTCTTAAGCTATGTTGATGAAATATTCGTAATTTATAGAAGAAGATGTGTACTTTCTCATAAAACAAGCCGTATTTGAAGATCTCTTTTCGTCTTTGAGATAATAACTTTTGAAATTAAGCCAAATTTTTAGTTAACAATTTTCGACCATCATTTTTAAAATATCGCAAAAAATCTAATTCTCAAGATATTTTAATGAAATATTTGTAATATATAGAAGAAGATATAAACGTTTTCAAAAACCAAACCATATTTGAAAATCTCTATTCGTATTTGAGATAATAATTTTTAAAATCAACCTAAATTTTTGTGATTTTAAGAATTTAATGATTAACCGCAACAAATCTACTTTTAGTTTTTCAATTAAAATTAGAATAAGTTGAGAGTCTAGTTCCATAAAATCTACATCAACGATCAGAGTCCATTTGGCAAACCCACCTCGTAATCCTCATCCATTTGCCAATTATTTATTCTGGAACCGAGACATCCCCATTCTATGTTAGATATTAGAATTTTCTTGGAAAAATCCTTTGCGTCAAAACTAAATTTAAATCAAAAACCACCTTGAATTTTGTACCATACGTTATTTTAGTTATTATTTCAAATTTAAAAAAAAGTCTTAAGATAATAATAATTCTATTTTTAATTCGTTAATTCTAATAAAAAATAATTTAGTATCAAAATAATCATTGTGATCCAAACTTTTTATCACACCAAAACTATTTTTTATTTTATTTTAGTTCAGGCATTTAAATAATTTTAAAAATAAAATAAAATAAATGAGAAAGTACACAAGTTAAGGCTGCGAGAAAACCGTTTGAGCCACGATCCACCTTTGCACCGACAACCACGCGGTGATTCCGTGATAAACAAAGACAACGGGCGTTCGAGTTAAAGGTAGAATGGAGAAGGAACGTCTCGAGAACAAAAATAAAACGGTAGATCCGTGGTGTTTACAACGTTTAGAGTTTCTGACGTTATGCGGGGGGCGTCCACGCAGACGTCGCGTGCCACACACTTTATCTAACTACCTCCTTCTCTTTTTTCAGATTCTCTATCTCAACTCGACTCTGATCCAGGGGCATTCCTTGTGACGTTTCCGTGACATTCATTTTACTCTGACGCATCTTGACTGTATGTCACAACTTTAATATACAAGGTCATTAAAGTGATACCTTTCCTTTTATTAATTCATTTAATACATTTACTTCTTAATTAAAAAGAAACTATCATTAGAGTAATATTAATACAAAATGAGTTCTTATCAGACTCGTAAAATGAATAACAACTTTATGTTAAGGTGAAGTTATTTTTGTCGTTGATAAACACAATAACAAATCGAAACACGCGGTTTCCTCGTGGTTAAAATATGCTGTGTGATGTAGATAAATAGAAACATGCGTACGGATCGAATCCAGGAGAACTCGGATTGAGCCCGGAGTGGGGAAAGTCCGGAATCCCACGACCTATGCTCGTATCGTGCATTTATTTAATTTTGTTTATATCTACTATCACGCGTCTGCAACGTGCTCTTTAAAAACGATAACAATGTTTTAAAATAGAATATCAACATAATAGTTTATAAGAATAAATTCCGTCATTGATTTTAATCGAAACGGCAATAAATCGTATCTAATAAAAAAACGTAATTTCTCAAAAATATGAATATTTATGAACGTACTTATAAATTATAAGTGACGTTATTGTGCAATAATAGTTATTACATGGTTTAGTCACGTAGACGCGACAATTCAGTCACGCGTGGCTTTGATGAAAACGAACGAGATTATTATTGGATGTTTTTTTTTGAGACATTACATTTGTATATCTGGGGCAGGACATCGACACTTAATTTGATGTTAGGAAAGGATTTCTGAGAAGAATTGATTATGATTATGATTCGTCAGGCAGCCTTAAGGATTCTAGGACCTAAAAAAGAAGAAACTTAATTCGCTGCCTTAATACATTATACTTACTTGTAAGGTAAAGTCACGATGCAATGTTGTCACCAGTTAAAAGAATGAAGCTATAAGCAGTAAAAAGATCTTGTAGATGGCTTGACATACAATAATTATTTGTATGATAGGGTGACGATGCATTCTTGTCACGAGTTGAGAGAATGAAGACAAGGTCGCTCGCTGCCGAGACAGCAGCTCAATCACGTTTTTTCTTGTAGATTCACGATTATGTGACCAAAGATTCGGTGTGTTCGTCACAATATTCCATTATTATTTACGTATATGAAATCCAGCCAGCAAATAATTGTCATGAATGGAAGACAGACCTTGAAAAGGTATATATCCAGCGATTTATCTGTATCTAATCTTCTATTAGCAACATTTAGTCTTCTGACAACAACGTCTGGTTTTTTGCCAATAGTATCTTGTCTCCTATTAGCACTACCCTTTTCTTCCAACAATATCTAGATTTCTATTAGCAGTATTTAGTCTTCTGCAAACAGTATCTAGTCTTCTGACAACAATGTCTGGTTTTGTGCCAATAGTATCTTGTCTCCTATTAGCACTACCCTTTTCTTCCAACAATATCTAGATGTCTATTAGCAGTATTTAGTCTTCTGCAAACAGTATCTAGTCTTCTATTCACATTACTTTTTTCTGCCTGCAATACCTGGTCTACTATTACCAATATTTAGTCCTCTTCCAGTCGTATCACAATCTAGTCGCCGATTAACAATGTTTAATTTTCCGACGCTGCTCTCTGGGAACAGTATCAAGTTTTTTATTAACAGTATCTTTCTCAATTAGCAGTATTTAGACCTCTGACACCAATATTTACTTTTCTGCCAACAGTGTCTTCTTCAATTAGCAGTACCAGCTCGGTTATTAGCGATGTTCAGTCTTCCATAAGCATTATTTAATCTCCCACCAGCAATATATAGTCTTCTATTAGCAACATTCAGTCTTCTGGCAGAAATATCTAGCCTTCTATTCGCAACTCACTATAAAAGTTTTTATTTAAAAGGAATTTAGGTATATTTGAATTAAAAACAAAATAATATTATGTTCATTTTATCACACCTGTTCTAACAAGATAATTTATAAATAAATTATGTACATTGTTTGAACAAAACTGTTAAATGTATCAACATAAAATGCAAAAATATAATAACTTTTGGATGTACAAAACTTTTACTCTTATCATCCAATTTAGCAACAAGTCTACTTAATTTACATTCTAATCCTTAAATTAATTTATCAATTATTTTTTTAACATACTTCTTGATTACATGATTTGTTGTGTTGGTTTAATGATGGATCTACAAAATTATGCTGCAAAAATAAAAACGTTACGTTAATATTTTTGTATTAAAATATTATTAAAAAAATTCTTACGCAAATTCCGCAACTTGCACAGTTTCGACTTTTGGTAACTTGGGTTTAGTTATAACTGTATGTGTAAGCATGTGTTGTTGTAAATTATTTTGTTGAACGAACGTCTTATTGCACAATTTACAAATGTAACTTTTCTCCCCCAAATGAGTTCTCATATGCAAACTACTCGACCCGGCGAATCTTTTCCCGCAAATCGTGCAACTATGCGGTTTCTCCCCTGTATGTGTCCTCATATGAGTCGATAAATGCCCAGAACTTGTAAACGCTTTATTACACATTCCGCAAACATGCGGTTTATGACCAGTGTGTGATCTTGTATGAATAACCAAAGTTTCTCTACGTCCAAAACTTTTTTCGCAAATTGTACAAGTGTAAGGTTTTTCTCCTGTGTGAGTTCTTTGGTGAATCGCCAGCGTATTTGATCCTGCAAACGCTTTTCCACACGTTGAGCAAATATACGGACGTTCTCCTGTATGTATTCTCATATGAATACTCACATAACCCGATTGAGTAAATCCTTTACCACAAATCGGACATAAATATGGTTTTTCACCAGTATGAACGCGAATATGTTTCTCTAAATTACAAAGTTGCGTGAAACTTTTTTGGCACACACCGCAAACGTGCGGCCTTTCTCCTGTATGCGACCGAATATGAATCCTTAAACTTCTCGCTTCAACGTATTGTTTATTACAATACTCGCAAGTGAACAATTTATGACCCGTATGATATTTCATGTGTTTCGATAAACTCGAAGCCCATTTAAACGCCCTCCCACAAACCGAACACAAATGCGGCTTCCCTTTAATATTTCTCAATTCACCGGTGTGTTTCTTTTTATGTTTACTTAAATTTGAACTTTCCGCAAACGTTTTATCACACTGATCGCATTTATGAGGTTTTTTCTCCATATGAATTTTTAAATGCCGCTTTAAAACTCTCGCCTCCGGAAACGCTTTATTACAAACATGACAGATATGATCTAAGTCTTTCGGATGAGTCATCATATGCACTTTTAAGTCGACTTTTAAAGCGAACGCTTCCGAACATTTCGTACATTGATATCGAAGTGAGTTTGATGATGAAGTGGAAGGTTGAGGTATATCTTTTTCGGGTTGTTCTTGTTGTGGTTCAGTTTCATCTGGATCTGCATTTACTATTGTTTCTTCTTGGAAAACGTCTATTTCGGAATGAATGAATTCAGTCACATGGTTATCCTCTTGTTTAACTTCCTAAAATAGATTATGATAATAAAATGAAGTTGATTTTTATGATTTTTAATGTACCAATAAACTAGCTGGACCAACGTATTCTGCTGTTATAAATTCTGGGATATCAGCCACCATAACTTGTTCAACTGTATCGCTAAATTGTAATTGTTCTTGAAGCTCTGCTTTCGTTTGATCTACTATGTGTTGATTGAGAATTTTCTAAACATTTTTTTTATTAAAAGGAAGAATTAATACAGTTTTTGAGGAAATTACCTGGAATTCTGGACTTATATACTGTCTTAAGATGTTATCAGATTTCTCGCATTGTTGCTTAAATGTGTAAGCTCTGCTACATTGTAACACGCATTGTACACACATTAAATGAGGTAAATTATCATCTTGGTTAATCTGTAAATAAAAGTAAATATTATTGTATCTTCCTTCCCTGTATCATTCTTTGAAGCAGGTCTCTGCTCTAGCGCCAAATTGGTAATGTATTTTCCGCGAATCTTTGAAAATTAAAAAGTACGCAACCCAAATTGTTCAAACGAATCGCTAACTTATTATCAATACTGTTTGAGATAGCAAAATAGTAGATATATATAGGAAGGATATATATATCATAGGAAGACTAGATATTGTTGGCAGAAAAAAGTATTGCTAATAGAGGATTAGATACTGCTTGCAAAACGCGAAATATTGAAAAATTTGCTTAAGCTTATTTCTAAATTCAGACAACAGTGGTAGAAGAGCTATGGGTCTAAGATCAGCCAATCTGTTTGGGTTGGGCTTCTTTTTAAGAGGAATTAATTGAACCGTCTTCCAGCTATGGGGAAAAACAGAGTGTTCAAATAAAAAGTTTATCAAATGTGTTACATAATCTAACAAAAATGGAAAACACAACGACAGCATTTCCTTGTTGATACCATCAAAACCAGAAGCATTGCTGCTAATTGACTGGAAAATTGTAAGCACTTCCTATTGGTTCCTCCTGAGTAAGCACTGAACTCAATAAGTAGTCATTAACCACCGCTACAATGTCCTGATCAAATTTAGGAATAGAGTCAATGAAAAATTTATTGATCGCATGAACGTCGCTCAGATGAGGAGGCAGATCATTATTATGTTTATCCCCTTCTGCCACTAAACTATTTAGAACTTTCAATAGTGGTTTAGCCTGCTTAGTGTCTTTTAAGCTGGATATACAGCGTGATTCAAAAAACCGCTGACAGACTTCTAGGGCAGGTAATACATCAAAAATCCAGATGAAAAGTCTTCATATACATGGGCTTGCCAATGCCACCTTAACGAGATATAAGAGTGTCAAAGTTTCTTTAAAATTAAACATTATCTGCAATAAAAAAGCTTTTTTTTTAATATTTTCAACGCCACTGCTAATTTTGTCAAACGCGCAGTATTTTCGTGTAAAGTGATCAATTATCTATCAATTGGCCTCTTACAAAACTTTGATTAAAGCAACAGTTCTTGATTGGATTAGCAAATTTTCTTATAAACGTGTTTTGTGAGTATAGAAAGGCTATAGCTGAAGCTAACTAGCAGCTTTATAAACATTGCAAAAAATAAAGCTAGGTAGATTAGCTACTATCCTAGCTCCTTGGATTCTTTTGAAAGAGGTCATCATTGCATTGCAATGTTTTTGGATCTGACGCGGGCATTTGACTGCGTGTTATATCTTTGCTAGTGACGCTGCTGTTGCTCTTGTCGAGTCCTACCTGAAGAATAGAACACAGCAAGTAACGTTGCATGGTGCAATATCGAGTGAGCTCAGTTTGAGGCGAGGAGTACCATTGGGATCCATACTTGGTCCGCTGCTATTCCTGCTTTACATTAATGACTTTCCTCAGTATTTGGGTGATGATGTGGAATGTTTGCTTTACGCGGATGACGCGAGAGATCTCAGCGATTTCATTGAAGCAGTTTGTTTTTAAGAAGTTGCGAGGTTCTTGGGCGTATCTATTGCCCCTCTCACGTTGAAGTTTGACTATCATGTATGTGCTATTGGAAGTAAGATTTGTTTACCTTTTCGTAGGATATCTAAGATTGTGGATGGAGGAGTCCTTAAAGCTGTATACTATGCTTTATTCACTCCCATATTAATTATGCTATTTTGGCTTGGGGGAACAGCCCTACGTGTGCTGGGTAATCTTGGTTATTATGTAAGGATTGAACCACGGGGAAGGGGTTTGAAAATCCTTCTGGTTAGTAGAGGTATATGCTTATCAAAGACAAATTAAAAAATATATAGAAGTATAATTAGAAGACAAGATATTGTTTGAAATACCATTCATATATGCAACCCATTCTACACGTTTTTGAACAAGGAAAAACATTCCCAAATTAAGTTTTACCAATTAATTTAACATGATTAATTGATTGAATTAAAACATATCATCATTATTTATTATTTTTCTAATTAATTTAATAATTCGCAAATAGATTTTTTTTGGGAAAATTACTGATTTAATACCTGAACGGAGGCGAATGAAACAAGCATTTCATCGAGACATGCCCCGTAAAGGGGCCTCATGTCTCCTTTTTCGGATAAACAGGCCCTGCAGATCTTATCCATTTGGAGGGGCGCCGTCAAATAGATGCTCATATCCATTGCGACGCCGTCGAGAGAAAACACCGACGTCCCGCGGAACCGATCAAACGAAACGGGGCTAGAACCGGAACGTACGTCTTTACATGACACAAACCGCACTAAAATGGCCGCCGAACAAAACACCACATTGAAAATAAAAAGAATGACAGTTAACGGACCAATCATAAGCGGGATGTTTTTGAGGGCGGGAAATTTAAATTTTATAATTAAATATAATTAACAATTTTAATTAATATTTATACAATGGAAAATAATAAAACAAAATTTGATTTAAATTAATTAAATATTAATATTAATAGTTTCAAATTCATCTATTTCTTGAGGTTCATGTTGCTTCATGTGATTTTTTAGGTGGTGTTTTCGGCGAAATTTCAATCCACACACTTCACAATTAAACGGCTTTTCCCCTGTATGTACCATTATGTGCATTTTTAATGTATGTTGATGTCCAAAAACCATTTGGCATTGATCACACTGGTACTTTTTAATTTGTAAATGTCTTTGGATGTGTTCATTTAAGTGGCTGGACGTTTTAAACATTCGATTGCAATTAACAAAGTTGCATTTATAGGGCCTCTCTAAAGTATGAATCCTATTGTGAACCTTTAAATCTCCCACATTGTTTGTTTTATAACCACAAAGTCTACAATCGTATTTCTTATCCTTTTTATGAATTAATTTATGAATATATAACCGACTTGGTGTTTTAAATTTTTTTGAGCAAACCGTACACACATAGTTACTCGACGTTGAATGTACCCCCATAATGTGTGTTTTTAAAGCATGTCTACTCCCTAAGCAACGACCACATCGCTCACAAACGTGCTTATAATTCGGATGAATTTTCAAATGGTTATTACAAGCAATTTGCGAACAAAACGTTTTCTTGCAAATCCTACAAGTAACTTGTTTTAAAACGTGTTTAACTGAATGCACAGTTAAAGCATGTTTTGTAGCGAAAGATTCGGTACAAATCGGGCAAACAAATTCATTTTTTTCAATCGTTTTTAAAAACACTTCATTCCAAGATAAGTTATTAAGTAATTTATGTTCTTGTTCGTCGTGTTTTAAGAGGTCAATATCCGTTTTAAATTGAATTTCGCATTTATCACATTTATATATCATTTTATTTGAAAAGCAGTTCAACATGTGGTTATCAATGTCACTTTTAGTCTCAAAAGTTTCCCCACAACAATCGCAAAAAAAATATTGTTGGAAAATATCTGGGTCTGTATCACTTTCAATTAATAAAGCATGATTTATAAAATGAAAACATAAAGTTAAATGATCTGGGTATTCTCGATTGCATATATCACAAGTTTTTACTCCATTATTTTCATTTAAGTTATCAATAAGAATTGTGCTTTCATTTGCTTCAATCACCTCGATCGTTTCTATTTCCATCCTTTGAATACCATTGTTTTTACGTTCATCAATTAATTCTAAAACATCACCCCCTACCAATTTTTCGTCATATTCTTGTTCCTCCTCTGTGTTATTACTACTTTCAAACCTGCTTGTAAGGGATTTAGATTTATCGTGAATTATTTCATGTCTACTTAACGAATACTGTGAAGGAAACCTCTCCGAACACACGACGCAAATAAATTTATTCAAATCTTCCAATTTAAGCGTATTTTCAGTGCTTTCCGGTTGTTCTTCTTGGTTAGGATTTAAGAATCCTTTAAAATTAATGTAAGTGTCTTCGCATTGTTGTTTAAAACTGTACGCGAATTCAAGTTTTTTAACGCACTCACCGCATAAATACTTAGGAAGACCGTCTTGTGCAGAAATTTTTACGCAGATGACGTTTTTTAACATTAAGAGTAAATCTTCATTCTCCACGGTGAAGATGTCCCTTTTATTTTCACTTTTAACGATATCCATGCAGGTGCGACACAGTTTATTAATATCTTGAGGAAGTTCTATGATTATTTCCATTATTATTTTTTTCGTAAATTTTTAAGATATCGTAACATAACCTTTTTGTCCTATTATTGTCAAATTGAGAAAAGTCACTAAAACCGATACCAATTTAATTTTGATTTACACCAACCCCGATAAGATTATCCGCTTATTAATAAAGTTTTTATTAAAATTTTGAGGTATTTAAATTTATTTTTGATTAATTAAATTGATATTTATAATTTAAAAGCTTTAAAAATGAATTTTTTAATGCGATTTTGACAGTTGATAAATTTAAGTTGTCATCTTGGTTATCGCATTGGTTTCAGTTGACATTTGTGACCATATTTTAATTTCGGACGTGTGGAAACCCTGAAAATTCATCAGTTTTTCTTATGAATTAATGAAATCTGATTGAATTTGAATTTTGATTTCGATTTCATTTTATAAATTAATTTTAATTTTGAAACATATCTTGGATACGAACAAAAAAAGATGTTCTTATTTTTCCCAATGATTTTAGTGCACATGCGTCAAGTAGGTTCAACGCCATTTTAACGTTGACCGGAGTAATTTTGTCGCGAAACCAGCGAAAGCAATCAAAAGAACGTTTCAAAAACGTTGTAAATACGTGTTAAGTTGTTCAGTGCGTATCGTTCTTTAATTTTATTACGCGTATATTGTCGCAAATTGAACTAAACGGACGTTTTTTTCGGACCACGTTCTCGCCGCTGAAAAATGCGCGTGCTTCATTAACAATCCGGGTCCCCAAAATATGGCTCAGTACTTTCATGTATTGAGCCAAACTGATAAACCGACCGGCAGCGAAATACAACAATTTTATCCCGCGAATATTGTTGATAATCAAACGACGGTTCAATACGTTATTGGTTCTAACGATCAAGACTTTCAAACACAACAGGTTAAAAAGAGTCTCATTTAAATATAGAAAATTAAAGTTGGTTATCTTAGATTTTGGTTTCTTCCGATCAAGTAATGCTGGTAGATGGCCAGCCACAACAAATAATCGTGGACCAAACTCCCGTACCTATTCAAAATCAACAATACATTATACAAGATACTAACGTTGAGTTCCAAGAAGCTCCTCAACAACAAATATTTTACGTTGACGAGAGCAATCAAGTTCAAAGAGTTGAAAGTATGTCTGACGGAGCTCGGCCCACTCAACCGGTAGTTTTGAATCATCTACAAACAACACCAGTTCATGCCCAATTAGCGGGAGTTAAAACTGTTCTTAATACTCAAAGACCTATCACTATAAATAATTTACAACAGGTAAAATTATGATGATTTATGATTTATAACCTCACATTTCCTGTTGAAAATTCTTAACCTGTAAGAATGCTTTGTTTTATGTATTTAAATTAATTTAAAAATGAAAACGAATTAGGTGGAGTTAAAATTGTTTTTAATACTCAAAGATTTATTATTTTAAATTATTTTTTAAGTAAAATTTATTATTATAACCTCACTTTTCATGTTGAGGATTCTTAACCTATAAAAACTGTTTTATACATCTAAATTAGTTTAAAATTGAAAATAATAATATACATCCAATTAGCTGGATTTAAGATTGTTTTTAATACTCAAAGATTTATTATTTTAAATAATTTATAAGTAAAATTTATTATTATAACCTCACTTTTCATGTTGAAGATTCTTAACCTATAAAAACTGTTTTATACATCTAAATTAGTTTAAAATTGAAAACAATAATATACATCCAATTAGCTGGAGTTAAGATTGTTTTTAATACTTAAGTAATTTAGAATAGGTAAAAAGTGTAATAATTTTTAATTTATAACCTCACTTTTCATATCGATTCTTAACCTACAACTTTGTTTTATAATTTTTTTAATTAATTTAAAACTAAAAACTGTTTTATTGTAGAGTCCAACAGTATTAGTTCCGCAAAGGCAAATTCAAGTTCCTTCAGTGAGACAACCAAATTTCGTTGTACAAACTCCAGCGCAATCAGTTCGTGTAAGCAAAAAAAAAGATTTTATCATTTATATATTGACGTTTTCCTTCAATTTAGCCGAAACTTCATCAATTAAATCAAGGTGTGGCCACAAATCGAGTGAAACAACCTTTAATTCGTTACAATTCAGCTTCGGAAGTAAATAAAATAAAATTTTTTCTATTGTTACACTTTATTACATTTTTATTACTTTAACAGGTTAATTCTGAAAAGAAATTTCCACCAACGAGTGTAAACCCGCAAACTCACGCCATGGATAAATCTGAGTAAGTAAATTAAGATTTTTTAAGGTTATCTTTTAACTTTCTGTCAAATTTTGACATTTAATGAATATATTTTTTAATTAATTTAGTCTTGAACAAAAAAAGCGTCAAATAAGAGCTACAGCTCCAAGAGCACGTCCTTTAATGCGACCGAATCTTTATCAACAACAATCGCGGTTCAATAGACCAATTCGGGGAACTGCGCCGCATGTGAGTCCACAACAACAAAGCGTAATCCATCGGCAATTACAATCCCCTCAACATCAAGTTAGTTCAACTCCTACTCATAATCCAAATTACATCATTCATTCCCATGGAACGACCCCTCCCGTCGGCGAAGTTCCAGTTTTCCAACCTACTTTACAACTAAAGCAAATTATTGAAAGTACACCAATCGATGACGAATATAGAGATTCAATTAGGATGTTGATAATTCTTTCAACTGGGGAGCAACGTTTAATCACGTTCACTTTGCCTAAGGAGCAATGCACTATAACGGAAATTTTAGAACAAGTTGGTTTACCTATACACAGCGACACCATAATAAATTGCACGGAGACTTATTTGAAAGAAATCCATTACGTGGTGAATGTAACGTACGGAACCGATAACACGAATTCTTCTGTAATGACCACGGTTCAAGTTGAACAGCCTGAAACTCCATCCTCTGTAACTCCTTCACCCCCATTACAAGTAATTGACACTCCAACTTCAGAAAGTTCCACTCAGAGATCTGAATCCCCCGAATCGCCAGTTTTCGAACCTCCCAAAGAATTACCCAAGATCATTCCTGGTAAATTAGCCGTTTGTACGCATTGTGGATACTTATCAGAAGATTTTAATAAATGTACAAGATGTAAGACAAAGTTGCCGGTTGATGTTAAAGTTCGACTTCTTTCGGATCAGATTCCTGTCTCTGCTGTTCATAAGAAGATTGAGATTAAAAGTGGAAACGATAAGAAAAATTTAAAAACAGCTAATGGTAAGTTTAAATAGAAATGATTTGCTACCTAAAATCTCTTAATATGTTAGGGGATTTTAAACAATTATACTCTATTTTTTAATTTGGAGGAGTGTTTTCAAATTGAAGCGCCAAAAAGTAGGGTTGTTATAGGTCAGTTTTTAGCAAAAATTACACTAGGAAAGTTCGAGATGTTGCCGGCCGCCTAGAAACTTAACAAACACGTTTTTCAGTATGGCTAAACCCGAATGATTCTAATTCTAGGTCTTGTGTTAGTTCTAGTGATAGTGCTAGTGTAAAACTAGAACTAACACTAGACCTAGAACTAGAAACATTCGGATTTAGCCGCACGTCTCTCAAGACGGCTAAATCCAAATGATTCTAGTTCTAGGTCTTGTGTTAGTTCTAATGATATTATAAAACTAGAACTTACACTCTAGACCTAAAACTAGAAACATTCGGATTTAGCCACACGTCTCTCAAGACGGCTATACCCGAATGATTCTAGGTCTAGATCTTCTGTTAGTCCTAGTGATAGTGTAAAACTAGAATTAACACTAGACCTAAAACTAGAAATATTCGGATTTAGCCGCAAGTCTTTCAAGACGGCTAAATCCGAATGATTCTAGTTTTAGGTCTTGTGCTAGTTCTAGTGATAGTGTAAAACTAGAACTAACACTAGACCTAAAACTAGAAACATTCGGATTTAGCCGCACGTCTCTCAAGACGGCTAAATCCAAATGATTCTAGTTCTAGGTCTTGTGTTAGTTCTAGTGATACTATAAAACTAGACCTAGAACTAACACTCTAGACCTAGAACTAAAAATATTCGGGTTTAGCCGTGCCTCTTCAAACGCGTAGAACTCAATGACAGTAAACTGGGCGTGGCAAATAGTGTGACGTAGAGTGCGGGCAACCAACCCGTAGTGGGCTACAAATCATCAATGGATGTAGCAGTCTTATTAGATTCTAGTGTCATTGGGACAAAGTAAGTAGGTACGCCCTGGTTTTTATTATGTTTAAAGAAATAAGTAATTAAATTCGTAACCACAGTTTACTTAAAATCCTCTCTGGTTTTAAAACTCCCGCCAAGAAATAGCTTTGAAAAATTACACTGTGACTCCTCCGAATTAAAAAATAGAGTATTACATAAAATTTAATATTGTAAAATAAAAAAGGAGTTAGATTATAAAATATATGCCGGATTAAATGTAATATGAGATTGAATTCTGTTATCAAAGGTATGTAATTAAATTGTGGAGCGATTAAAGTTAGCTGCAAGTTTAAAGAAAAGCTGTAAAAGAGTTGATGGGTTAAAGAATTAACACAAAAGAACGTTTTGACGAATCCACCTGAAGAAGCTGAAGACCAAATCAATAATAAATCAGCGCATTGAAACATCATAGAATCACGCTTCTTTAGAAAGGAGGGGACCGACAATAAATTTCCTAAGAAAAAAGAAACATAACCTTTAAGTTTTATAAAATTAAAAAAATTACAATTTAGGCAACCATATACACAATATAACATAAAGTAATGATTTACTACTTTGATTGAGTCTACATTAATAATATAATTTAAATTTGTGATTATTATTTTGTACTTCTTATTTATTATTTTAATATGACAGAAATTTAAGTAATCAGGGATGCCAACATAAATCAATAAATTCAAATTGACAGAATTTAATACGTCAAATTAAAGTGAATATGTTAGGTTATGTTAAAAATTATTAATATAGAATTATATTTAAAGTTTTCAATCTAATTAACTATAATTATAATTAATTTTTCTTTAGGTACAGCCGGAGGTATAAAAAAAACTCGCTCAAAATCAAAACTTGTTGAACAAGAACCGATTATATTAACCCTAAGCTCAGATGAAGAAGAAGACGAGTCCAAAGCAATGGTAAATGATTTTTATTTTAATTGAATCGTTTTTGATTAAATTTTTTTAGACAACTTTAAAATTGAGTGAACCTCACACCTTAATAGAAGATATATGTAGGAAAGAACCATCTCTAACTGAATACCAATTAACAGATCAAAATAGTAAAAATCACGTTCGCGAAGATCCCTCAACTTGTGTAACGACTTCGATCTACTGCAGGACGATTAGAATCGGGTCGTACAGGTTCGTACCCGCTGAAAATAATATTTTAATAAGCTCCAACGAGGTGATAATGAAAGTTCCCCATCCCGCAAACCCAACGGAATTAAAAACAGTTAAAATCGATCGATCGAAAATCGTTAAAGTATTAGCAAACTTTCAAAAGGCGCTTCCAGTTATTTTTTATTACGTCTCGCCGATGATGGGGGCACAAATTAGAAACATTTTGGGAATGGAGAAAGGTTCCGAGTATTATTTCGATCCAATTTCAAAACAAGAGGCGTTTAAAAGAATCACGATTTTACCCGAACATTTTGGCGACGAAGCTAAGGTAGTTTTTAAACAAATTTATGGCAAACCACCGTTAACGATGGAGGAGTTGAATGCAAAGGAGGCTAATTCTATTTTAGTGAAGACTTGTCCGAAAGAAATTTCGAAAAATTTGCCATCATCAATAGGAGCGTAAGTTTTATTTTGAGGTTAATATAAAGAAATAATGTTTGAGTTGACTATTTTGTTGTAGATTTACGGAAATTAAACAATTATTGATTTATCCCCCAGAAGGAAAAGGTGGTTTATCCATAAACACTGAGGATTATTTATGTTTAGCTCAAGATCAATTTTTAAATGATGTTATCATCGATTTTTATTTAAAATATATTGTGATGCAGTTTCCAGAGGAGCAGCAGCAAAAAATTCATATATTTTCTACTTTCTTTTATAAAAGACTTACTACAAAACCGCTTAAAGCTACTAGGTATGTTTTGAAGGTGGTTAGATTAATAAAAAAATTATGTGAAGGTTTATTTTTCTTAGTTTTAATTTTTTTTTTGACTAAAATGTCAAAATTCAGTGTTACCACATCACTATTCATAAAAAAATGCGTTGGTAACAAACTAAATTTGAAATAATGTGAGGTTATGCTTAAAAAGAAATTAGAATTTAAGTAATTTCGGTCTTGATGAATGTGTCAAAATTCAATGTTACCAATTAACTAACTTTAAATATTTTTAGGTTATGTTTTATGTCATGCGCGAAAAATTTCAGTGTTGTTAACATAAAAAAAATTAAATTTTTTTGTTTTTAGAAGAATGAATCCGGCGGAAATGGATGCGAATTTATCCGCGGCACAAAAACGTCACGTCCGTGTAAAGAATTGGACTAAAAATGTAAACATTTTCGAAAAGGATTTCATAATAATCCCGATTAACGAAAACTGCCATTGGTTTTTGGCCATAATTTGTTTCCCTGGAATGGAAGGGTGTCATACAATGGACGGAAAACCATATAAATTAGAACCGAAGCAAAAATCGCAACAAAAAAGTATTTAAAATAATCAATTAATTAATTTTTTATTAATTTCTTTGTATTTAAGAAAAATTATCTTCAATGGGGAACGTAACAATCACCCAAATCAAAATGGAAAAAGGTGACTCACCAATTTGCGACGGAGAATTAAGCGATAAAGATGAAGCTGAAGGCGACGAGAGCGAATTAGAATCTGAAGAAGAAATCGAAGAACCCAAACCATCAGGAGTTGTGCCACCTTTAAAACAGTAAAATCCCCAAAATACTTGTTAATCATAACCTAATTATTATTTTTATTATCTTTTAGGCCATGCATATTAATTTTTGATTCTTTAGCGGCCGGAACAAGTCGATCAAGAGTTGTTGCAACGTTACGAGATTATTTATCGTGTGAATACCTCACAAAAATGAACATTGAAAAAACATTTAATAAAGACAATATAAAGTGTAGTTGCCCAAAAGTTCCTCAACAAACCAATTTTACTGATTGCGGTTTATATTTATTACAATACGTTGAAAGTTTTTTTGAAACTCCGATAAAAAGTTATCAATTTCCAATTCGCGAGTTAAAAACGTGGTTTGAAGAAATGACCGTGACGCGAAAACGCGAAGACATAGCTAAATTAATCGAACAATTAATGATTCAATACAATAAAGATCCGGGGATTTTACCCGAAATCCAATTACCAACGTTAAACGGAAAATTAACCAACATTAGATTGGAGGATGAACTCGAAGAGGAAGAGGAGGAAGAACACGACGAGAATGAGAACGACGATGAAGATCATATTTCCGAATCGACTGTTTTAATTAAATCATCTGACTATGAAAGTTTTGAGAACGCCGAGATTTCTTGTGATGACGCGATTTCACCTTCACAAAGTAACTTGGAGAATATGGATTTTTCTTCTACTCCAATCGCGGCGAACGACGTTAAACCCGATGTTCCAGATGCGAAAAAAACATCTAATAGGGATACTTTATCATATTTAAAAGCTAAAAGAATTATAAGACATAAAAATAACGATGGACAAGAAGTTAAAAAATTTAAATCGGACATTTCGTAAAGCCCAACTCTTTCTTTCATAATTTTGTTTTTTTTTGTCGTATAATGTATATTTTTATAAATTACATTCTCTTTTTATCCTCTTGTTAACCCAATTAATTTCAACTTAGTATTGTTACGGTTACTATTGAATTATTAAGTATATTCTTTTGATTGTAATAAATATAATAAATCCACGTTTAGTTACATTTTATTATTTTAAGTTGGCTACGTTGACTATATCATCAGCTTAAAAGAAATCCTAAACCTAACCTAAAATTAAATCAATTTTATTAACTCAATTTACAGATATAAAGATCCAAATTGATTTAATCCAGTTTAAAATTTCATTGAAAAAGCGATATTAATAAAGGTCAAAGTGATTAAGGAGAAATTCATTAAAAAGTGTTGCCAACTTTAAGAAATAAAATCATCAGAAATGTATAAGTTGAATTAAGCGGGAAATTCAAAAAGAGTTAGGTTATGTTATTGGGATTTGGTGTTGTTTATTCTGTTATTAAAGGGGAATTGATTATTTAATTAAAACCGTTTTGATTCTACGTCAAAAAAATAATAAATATTAAGGTTATAACAAAAAATATTTACATCTCCAGTGCTACCAATCGCGAAAAACTTAATCAGATCTTAATTACTTCGCTTTCATTACATTTAAATAGGATATTTAATAAAATTAATCGCTCCTCGCCTAAAATTTAGTTAATATTATGTAAAAGTGAATAAATATTAATTTAAACTAACCTTAAAATAGGTTATGAAAAAAATTAAACTTATATGTCATACGTAAATTTTTGACATTTACCGGTTGAACCGAAGTGGGGTGATAATCCATTGTAAATGAACAAATCGTTCGCAGATTCCAACGAAAACTTAAACTAAACGAGCGATATTTTTCGAAATAACCCAACTCAAAAACGCCCGCTTTTAAAAAACCTCCAAATCCACCTCAAAAAGGCTCCTCGACCGCCCCTAAAAACTTTTCGTATACGCGAAGTTTCCGAATCCATTTGCTGAATCCATCCGTAAAAGTGAAATAGTAAAAAGTACTTTTTATCAATGAATATGGCAGATTCTGCTAGTGAATCAGATTCGAGCAGCATCGATGGAGGCCCCATCATGATGCCACCGAGTCCTGTAACCCGGGAGCAACTCCAAAAAAGAATCGAAAGCCTCCAACAACAAAATCGAGTCCTCAAAGTCGAATTGGAAACTTACAAGCTTAGAGTTAAAGCGTTACAAGAAGAGAATAGGGGTCTTAGACAAGCTTCAGTTATAATCGTAAGTTTTTGTCTTAATCTCAAGAATTAGTCATCATTGTTTATTATTTCCTCGAATTGTTCGAGTTTAAATAAAATTCTTTTATCAATCTTAATCAATTAAAACTAAAAATTACTCATTTATATCTCCCGTTACAAATAGATTTGATAATAATTAACTTGGAATCCGAAAAGTTACTTAATCAAAAATTCTTATCAAAAAATTAATTTTCGTCATATTTTTTTTTAATCACTCATTTTTTTATATAAATTTAGCAAGCAAAAGCTGAACAAGAAGAGGAATACATTTCAAACACATTATTAAAAAAAATTCAAGCACTCAAAAAAGAAAAAGAATCACTTGCGCACCATTACGAACGCGAAGAAGAGTGCCTTACGAATGATCTGTCCCGAAAGCTAACTCAACTCCGTCAAGAAAAGTGTCGTTTAGAGCAAACGTTGGAACAAGAACAAGAGTGTCTCGTAAATCGCCTCATGAGAAAAATTGAAAAATTAGAAGCGGAAATTCTCGCAAAACAAAGTAATTTGGAACAACTTCGACGTGAAAAAGTCGAATTGGAAAATACGCTTGAACAAGAACAAGAGGCGCTTGTTAATAAACTTTGGAAACGTATGGATAAACTTGAAGCGGAGAAACGCACGCTTCAAATTAAACTTGATCAGCCGGTTTCCGATCCTGCAAGTCCACGCGACATCAACAATGGGGATACCGCCAGCAATTTGAGCACTCACATTCAAACTTTGAGATCGGAAGTGGCTCGATTACGTCAAACTTTAGCGTTAAGTCAACAGGAGCATACGCAAAAAATGCAAAAATACGCGCAAGAGGAACGTTGTATTCGCGAGGAAAATTTGAGATTGCAACGAAAGTTGCAATTGGAGGTTGAGAGACGGGAGGCTTTGTGTAGACATTTGTCCGAAAGCGAGAGTTCTTTAGAAATGGAAGAAGAGAGACATTATAATGAACAAGTTTTGGGGGTTAGACAACATACCGTTTCGCCAGTTCCATATAATCCATCACCAAGTCAAAGTAGACCATTAAGTCCAGGTAAAAAAAATTTTTTTTAACTTTTTATAGGTTAAGTTGATTATTTTTATTTTATATTTCTTTTATGATGGCGCTAGTTGTATATTTTAAGTACTGCCATCTATAGCTGATATTTATTAACTTTTCAATACACCCGCGCGGAGTATTAATTCGTGTAATTTAAATGTCCCATTTCGCACTAGCGCCATCTGTTGTTCACTAGCTGTATTAAATGTCTCTCGCGATCCTTTCTATTGATAAAAATACTGACGAATTTGAATGAATTTTTGAAATCGGTATTTTCCGAAACAAAAATCATGGAAAGTATTTTCAATGTATGAAATAAGACATTTAGCTTTTTGATTATTTTTTTAAGATTTCCAAGATATCAAAATAAAAATTTGACATTTGACAATTTTAACATTTGAAATTAAACATTAAATTTGTCTTGTACGGTACACAATACTACAGAATAACATATTAGAATAATATATACAGGGTGTCAAATTTTTGTAGCAGGACTTTAACAGTCGATCTTTTAAAATTAGCACAAAAACTTCACATAAACATACATAGGTCGACAAACGCTTTGTTTTGGATAACAGTTTTGAGTTAAAAAAATAGTAATATAACAAAAAGGCGTTTCTTACATTATTCCTGTGCTCATTTTACATGAATGCAGTAACTTATCTGATTTTGTAGATGATACTGAAAGCACCAATTACATTTTTAATTATTTATTGCAAAAAGGACAGACATTGGACTTATTATAGTTATTGGGAGGTAATGTTACAGTTATTGGACATACGTTAATTGTTTTTTGTAATTCGCGACGGTAATGAAAGCTATAACAATACTCAAACAGGTGCTGTAATGAGACTCTTTACAGCATCCGATGCTGTAATGAGATTTTAGTAACATTTTATGGAACCAGTTCAAGTTGGTGACATTGGGTCATTAATTTTTCTAGTTGTCAATGTGACAATTTTTGTCTTTGGATGTTTAAACACGTTCTTAGCATCGAATACAAGGTCCACAATGATGAAGATATTGAACTCTGAGCAATTTCTCTTATTTTGGGAGGTGTATATGAAAAATTTTTTTTAGGTGAATACATTTTGTGTTTTGACAATTTCTAATTGTCAATTCAAATTTCTATTTTTAAGTGTTACGGTGTTACCAACTGCTACATACCTATTTCTCTACATAAAAACGCGAATTACAAAAAAATACGTTTCATAAGACTTAATTTCGCCACGTTTCTTCGCCACTCGTTTTTCAAATTGAATTTGTGCATTTCAAGCGTGTCTTACGAAACTTGTTTTTTAATATACTATTACATTACTGCTGAAATTAGATATTATACACACAACGCGCTTATTTCGGATATATTCCTTTCAATGTATACATTTATTTTTCATCTCCATTCAATTCTTCAAGTTATATTTTGTCATCGTTCTGTTATTTCTTGTCTTACTGATATCTTACTATATTTACTAATATTACAAGGATCATTATTAATGTTCTTATTTTGGCCAGCTTCATGTTGTTTTCTCTGTATTCAATAAATCTTCATCAGATGAGTCCTTATAAAGTTCATTTCCGGAGCGCATCGTCTCTTCGTTCTAATAATTATGGCATAGATAAATATTGTCATCATCAGGGGTCATATATACAGGGTGTTTCTGTAAGTCGTGGCATAATTTTAATCATAAATTCTAGAGTAAAAATGATGACGATTCGTGTAAAAATGTTTAGTCTACACCCATAAATGGCTAAGATATGGGCGTTCAAAGTTAAGAAATGTTTAAACATTTTCAATATGGTTTGTTTTAGAAAGCTAAAATTTGGCAAACAGTACATTATGAGAAATCGTTTAAGATCACTTTTGAAAATATGCAACCACACAATGTTATACAGGTGTTCACAAAGGTTATTTTCTTAAAACTTTTGTATTATGTCATAAATCCTTAAATTTTTCAACGGATTCTAAAAGCCTATTTCTTTATAAAATTATTCTCACTCTTAGAGATTTTTGCTTAGACGTATCGTTTTAGAGTTATTCGAAAAAAGATACAACCTCGTTTTTGAAATATCGTCATTAATTAAGAAATAAGTAAATAGCAAGAAAATGCAAGAAAAGCAATATGTCAGGTTATTATCCAACATCTTCTTATATCAACAGTACTCTAATTCTCATTATTTACATACTTTTAGAAATGTTTTCTATCAGGTTGTCTGCGTTTCGGATTTTTTTACAATATCATTTTGCCGTTGCGTTGACAAGACTTTTAAGGCCCACATCTTAACCATTTTTGAGTTTAGACACTTTAGACCAAAAGTTTTTACAGGGATCGACATCATTTTTACACTAGTAGTTGTGATTAAAATAATACCTACCACAACTTACAGAAACACCTGTATAGCATCCAGCTATGGAATTGTGGCAGTAAGAACATTTTAGGAGTAGAGCAACGATACCAAGACAAATTGTAAAGGAGTATTGTCAATGCCCCTGGTATTGCAGAAATAGTTAGTCAGGCCAAATTCTCAATAATATGATCCAAATCAGAAAACTCAAGAGGATCAGACTTTGTTCTGCTTGTTTTGTTTCCAGTTTTTGTTCATAACAATCTACATCTTTTCAGTATTTCGCCTTGCTCCATGAGAATTCGTCACCCTTAGTCATTGCTCATTATAATCATAGGTTTATTATATCATTCTGGTAAAATTTCCTCGTGTCCGACTGTGTTCTTAGTTTCTCTAATTCCTGCCTCTCTCTTTTTAGGCTATCAGTGCCTTATTAATCATTATTTATTATTTAGGTTTGAATTTACAAGCACCTTCCCCAAGAGATTCATTAATTGTAACCGGAAATCGTTGCGTTGCTTGTGGTCAAATGCAACCTCCTTCAGCGATTCCATCTTTACAACCACTGGGGTCAAGCAGTCCCCCGGTTTCAAACGCGGGGGCAAGAAGAAGCGGAGGAGATCGTTTCATAAAGCCTGCTAATCCAGCCCCGCAACCGGCTAGTCCCATGGATACATCAGTTGTAAAAGAGTAAAAAAGATTTTTTTTTTGGTTGTTGAGAAAAAGCGAGAAATTGAAACAATTAAAAAAAAAAGCAATCTTTGAAGGAATGAAAAGAAAAAAAGATGAAAAAAATCGTATAAAAAATGAACCTTTTTGTTGGGATTTGTTTCTTTTAAGATTTTAAAACTTCCTTTATTTAGGAAGGCAGCTTATAATGTCGGTTTTTAATGATAAAAATGTTAAAAAGTTATAATACAATGTGTACTTAAAGCAAAAATCTTTTTTTCTGAAGTAACTCTGTCTGTTATTGGTAGATAATAAGAGTTTTTACGAAAACAAAAAAAAACTTTCTAAATGTGGTGTGATTTTTCAATTTTTTTTCAACGCAATAATTGAAGAAAAAAAGTTGCGCATACAGGGTGATTGCTTAAAAAAATAATATCGAAATAAACCGACTTCTTTATTAATATTAATCCTAATTAATTAAATCCTTTAGCTAGTTTACTATTTTACATACAAGTTTTTATTATGTTATTATTGGAAGAAAAAAGTAATTCATTGATGTTATTAAAGTTATTAAGTTTCCTTCATTATCTTTTGCTTAACGTTTTTATATACTCTAATAATATCTTTATATTATTTTTTAATAAATAATATCTTTAAGAATGGCGACACATTTTCTGAAGTGATATTAGGATATAGTTAAATGTGTATATTTGGGACTATATTTCAAGGGCTGGGCTGTGTGAAGAAGCTAAAAAATATTAACCTGTTTAAAAAAAAGGCTATTGTAACCAACAACACATTTTACGTTTTAGTTAATTAAAAACTCAAAAAAAAATACATAAACAATAATTATTGTAGCTTAGCGCCGCGCACTGTTGTTCTATCTGCTTAAACAACCACTTTTTACAACAACCGAAAAACCATATTAAAAACCACGCTTTTTTTTATTAATTTATAAGTTAGTTTCATTTTTTATCTATTAATTTTTAAGTTTTCTTTTTCGCGTGGTTTATAAAATTACTTTTTTTATTAATTAAATAAAGAAATATCAATGGTTACCAGGCTTTGATTGTTTCGGATTTAATTTTCTTTTTTATAATCGAAAAAAAAAAAATAATTAAAGAGTTAAAGGGGATGAAAAGAGGTTGTTCGGCGGAGATGTTTACTGCAAAAAAAAAAATAAAAGCTAATTAACTCATTCACTAATCGAGTATATTCAACACGGTGAAATAAATTTCAACGGTATTTAAATGTATGAAAAAGCATGTATACATTACATCTTTATCTTTTTTTTATTGATATCGCTGGAAGATGTATATTGTATTGATTTAATAAATAAAAATGATGAAAAAAAATTCTCTTTGGAACTAAATTGTTGTTTTATTTAGTTTTATACATATCATTTATTGTTGTCACATTTATCATTGTTTGAAATTGTAAAAGTGATGAACATTATCCTTAGTCATAAAATTTACTAATACGTAAGTTTTATATCGATGGGATTTATAGCAGTTTGAGATAACGAAAAAGGATTGAAATGTACGATTGAGAATTAATATTTTGATTAATTTCTTATCGACAATCTTCTACATCTTCTATTCTTAACTTTATAGATTTCCTTTGAAATGTCAATTATATGTGAAGGAATGTTAGGTAAGGTTAGTTTTGTTTACAAACATTAATTATACCATGAAGTTTTCTTTGGCAATTAGTAATGGCAATTATAGCGTGAAGTTTTCTTTTGTAATGTCAATTATAGCGTGAAGGAATGTTAGGTAAGGTTAGTTTTGTTTACAAACATTAATTATACCATGAAGTTTTCTTTAGTAATAGCAGCTAAACATAGCATGAAGAGCTTGATAAAAGCGTAATGATGTATGGGGTAGAGATGTGGGGATGGAAGGAGCAAGGGCTCTTAGAGGATGTGCAGACTAGGTATTGAAGGTGGGTGTTGGGATTGGATAGGGAGACTTGGGGATACTCTGGGATATATCAGAATATGTCAGGGAAGAATTAAGGTGAGGGTGGAGGCGGGTAAGCGAGTGTTGTGTTTTGAGGAGAGGGTGGAAGGTAGAGGGTATTGTAAAATCTTGGGGGAATGCTACAGACAGATTGAACCTTCTGGGAAACAATAAATTGTTATTATTATAGTGTGCAGATTTCTTTTGTAATGTCAATTATCTTTTCTTTAGAAGTGTCCATCATTTGAGATGAAAAAGAATGTTGAGTAAAATTAAGTTTCCACATGCATGGATTACTGGCGTGAGTTAAAGTGCATGTGGAAATAGTAAAAATCTATTGGCACCAATAAACTAGCTCCAGTAATCATACCACCAATAAAGTTACTTTTTCTTCTAATTTTTGGCGTCTATAGTAATATTTGTAAAGAAAACGAGCAACTGCATATGCAACATATGAAGAATACCCGTGTTTGTGGAATCATAAAATTCCAAAACATAAGAACCGAACTCCAAGAAATGAAGCCTTAAGAAGGATAGTTGAGACAACAAGGCAAAAATATGAAGTATACGCAATGCGTACCTATACAAGTGAATATCACAAAGTTTTAAATTCGTGCAGAAGTGGAGCATCAGCTGACGATGTGTATAATTATGACATAATAATATGTATTCATGACATAGTTCTCTAATTAAAGTACTTGATGCACCTAGGTAGGTTTTCGTTTTTTTTTTGTTAATAACATGTGGAGTTCCAAGGAGTACATTTGCATTACCACATTTATGCCAGCACGAAGTATATCACTTGACGCCTTTTCTATTCCAGTGGCAGTATACGATTATCATATTTATGTGGAAACAACTTCTGGCGCCACTAAACTGGCTTCTTACTGACGCCAGTAATCTATGCATGTGGAAATTTAGCTTTAGTTAGTTTTTTTTTTTAATGTCAATAAAATCGTTAAAGAATGTTAGTTTTGTTTATTAGGATCTCAAGTAAAAAAAATGTTATGATCGTTGCGCTATGCTAAATAGACCTTAATTACTCGTAAAGATCTACAATTGAGCCTGATGAAGTCAAGACCACTTGTGGACAAGGTGCTACGATATGATAACCAGTTTTAGATTAATATAAGCCTTGGCCGCAAGCGATTACTATTTTAATTATATATAAGGTCCTTGATTTTATCAGTGAGGTAAGAAACAGAAAGGCTGTCTACAAAATCAGTCATCACACAATTTCTGCAAGCCTGATTAAGTAAATAGTTTTTGAGTTCAACTTTGAGTGTAATATTTTTGTATTATGCAGCGTTTTTATCTATACATCATTTTTGAGCCTGAAATATATCCCGATTATATCAAAGGATTTTAAATAAGAGGTTGTCTAGATTCCTATGCTACAATACTTTGATTTTAGTTTGAGGGCGAGGGGCAACAGCGGAAGTATTTCGTGTCGTAAGTGGCGACGATTGCGCGCGCAACCTCAAAGCCATGTTTAGTGAGAGTTGAAGTGTCTTCACTAGTATTAACATAATTTACTACTTTAGTTTAAGTCAATTATTCTATGATAAGATTGATAAGTAAATTTTTATCAAAAATTAAGTTGAATTATTTTCTGTTTTCCTACCGCAGTTAATTATATACCACATTAAAGTAATTCAGTTACATTATTTTAAAAATCTTAATTATTTCCTGCCAATGACGTAATGCGTAGTATGCCCACAGAACAACCAACAGTTATTCTGTGGTACCTCTTATATAAAAACCTTGGGTTATATCAGATATTTTCTTGATTTCTGGAATATATGGGTCTCTAATAAGTAATTTCAGACTTCTTGTAATGATAAATCTGTTTTTGGATCTTAATTCTCATAAATAATTGCAGGATCATTAATTGAATTGTAGGGTAAATAATAATATTCAGTGTGTTCTTATAAATACAAGTTCCTTTAATTTATTCTCCTGCAAAAAAAAAACAACAAAAAATAATGAATAAATCCAAATAAGGCAAAATACCTTGATTAACTACCAAATACAAAAATTAAATTTATTAAAAAAAAATGAAATGAAGCTGTTCTCTATTTGGGTAATACTCCTTAACCAATTTTCAGTTAACAAGTGACCAAAATAGAGATTTAAATTTAATTTAGGCCTCAATATGACTATAATAAGTCTTAAATAAACAAATTATAGCTTCGATAGGGCCACATTTAAATCAAAAAATAAAACAATAAATCTTTTTCAATTATATATTGAAAATCATCTTAATGTTAACAACTTTTAATGTGTCTTAGCAGCAAGCCTTTTATCCCTTTCTTCAGCTATGCTCAACTTGACACCTTTACCACGTGGAAGAGATACAAATGCCTTTGATCCTTTACCAATTATAAATATATTATTTAACCTAAAAAAGAAAAATTAATTAACAAAATGAAAACAAATCAAAATTAATAATGTTCACTATTTGGGTAATACTCCTTAACCAATTTTAAGTTAACAAGTGACCAAAATAGGGATTTTAATTTAATTTAGGCCTCATTATGACTATAATAAGTCTTAAAGAAACAAATTACAGCTTCGATAGGGCCAAATTTATTTATAATAATTTAATTATTTTACCTAGTGGCAAAAGTATGTCCATTAGCATCCTTCACGTGGACAATATCGAATGAACCAGGATGACGCTCCCTATTAACCACTGTACCAACACGTCCCAAGTTACGACCTCCCGTAATCATACATAAATTTCCAGAATCAAATTTAATAAAATCAAGAATCTTAGATGTTGCAATTTCCAATTGGATGGTATCATTTACTTTAATAACAGGGTCAGGATAACGAATTGTACGACCATCATGTGTTACCAAGAATGGGATACCTTTTGGTCCAGTCTGTACTTTCCTTACTTTGCAGAGTTTGTACTAAAATCAAAAAAATAATAATAAATTTAATGACATTAAAATCATCTTAAAGTTTTTTTCATAATAAAATCATATGAGTAAGGAACATTCATTTAAGCATATCAAACCAATATCATTTAATCACTTTTTTAAGAAAAATTTATTATAAACATTTAAAAAAACTTACTTTTGCTTCTTCAGCGGTGATTCTATGGATTGTAAACCTTCCTTTTACATCATAAATTAAACGGAAGAATTCTCCAGTTTTCGCAATGGTAATAACATCTAAAATATATCATAAATTAATCAACTTTAAAGCTGAAATGTCTTAAAACAGCTTACCCATGAACCCAGCTGGATAATTAGGATCAGTCCTAACTTTACCATCAACCTTAATCAATCTTTGCATAACAATTTTCGTAACTTCACTATTGGTTAAAGCATACTTTAGACGATTTCTTAAGAAAATCACCAATGGGAGTGATTCACGCAGTTTGTGGGGCCCAGTTGATGGGCGAGGGGCGAAAACACCCCCCAATTTATCCAACATCCATGCTTTTGGCGCATTTAAACGCTTCAAATGTTTTTTAGGGCCTCGAGCCTAAAACATAATCAAATACTTAATAAAAAAATCATTTGTAAACAACAAAATTTTGAGGTTAGGAACTCCATGAGTGGGTTTATTTTGAAAATACGGGATATATTTTTTAAATAAAAGGCGCTTTGGGTAGCTAAAAGGTAAAGGATGTTGGAAAAGACGTTGGGTTTAGTAAAAAATAAAGGATGAGTTAAAAATTAAAAGATAAAACTGTAAACAACTTACCATCGTGAGATGTGTGGCGGAAAAGGGATTTTGTAGAAGTGTCAAACTGACGGGTAAGAACAAAATCTATATTACCGACTTTTCAGGATTAATTTAAAATTAATAAATATCCCTTTATTTATAAATTAAAAATTATTGTTATAACATTATTTAATACATTCATTATATTCCATAGAATTAATTATAATATTATATTATTAAATATTTTTGTATATTTAATGATATTTGACACCTAAGTGGGTTTTCGTAGATGTCGCTAAATTAATTTGTTATTAAATTAATTTTAATAAAATTGGACTACAAAGTGAGACAAGATTTATTAGAAAAAATTATTTTTAAAATAAGGTAGCATCGGTTTAATACTTAAAACTTTATATTAAAATTTAATTATATTTATGTTAAAGTTATCTGTCAATAGATGGCGCTTTATTCATTGTCAAAATTTTTTTTTATATATTAATAAATCTTTATGATAATTAAAATATTTATAAACAATTTAATAATAAACACATTTAACAAATAAATATCTTAAAAGAAGCAAAATTACTATCTAATCTCAATGGTGTCATCTGTTGAGTAATAATCATGCAATTTCTCTTATGATGCTTTCCACACTGGAGTTATTATTGTTTGGTTTGTTTCTAAACTAAGAGCATCATGTTTTCGTGATGTTCGTATCGAAGGTGAATCTGTCATCGTTCCAATGGAAAAAATGGGTTCTTGGCCTAAAAAAGGGGATTCCGAACGTTTCGACGGCAATTTCGAGGATATCATCGTAACAAAGGATCTTCAGGATTGTTTCGACGAGAGCCTCGAAGCTTGTTTCTCCAAAACCTATCCAGTGATAAACATTAACGAAAACCACCACGACAAGGACGGCGATAAGAATCGCTTGGAAAATGCTACGTATATCGGAAAATTGCATGAAAACGACGAAAATGCGGGGTATGTACACGAAATAAACTATTAATATTATTATGTAAACGAATAAAAAATGTGAATCGGGGGTAAAATTCCGTTCTGGCCAAATTTAGCAATGTTAGAAATCAGCTGATATCTGTAGTTTTGGTTTGAAACTTGGCTAGGATAGTTTTGTTTTGACAGATTGAAATTTTTGAGGTTATTTTAATTTAATAATATTTTTTTATTTTTTTGTAGATATATTTATCATACAGTATCTCCTAACGAGATTTACATGCACATCAATCCAGGTTCATCTGGTGATATGCCTGATGAACCATCACACGCTACGATAACCATACACAGTACGAATCCTGAAACGAAAGAAACGCTTGTAAATCGATTTCATTGTGAATATGATGGCTGTGCAAGAACTTACAGCACAGTAGGAAATTTAAGAACCCATATGAAAACTCATAAAGGTTGGTATTATTTTGTGGTTAAAAAATGTATTTCATTATGAATATGATTATGTTTTTGCTTCATTAGGATTTTTATCATCAGTAAGTTTTAAAATAAGATATAAATAATATTTTTTATGTTTTAAGAATGTAAAGAATTGATTTATATTTTCTTTATTTAGGTGAATATCGTTTTAAATGTACAGAACCCAATTGTGGCAAACAATTTTTAACATCATACAGTTTAAAAATACACGTAAGAGTTCATACCAAAGTAAAACCATTCGAATGTACCTACGATGGCTGTGAAAAAGCTTTCAATACATTGTACAGATTACGAGCGCACGAACGACTTCATAACGGGAAAACTTTTAATTGTGTCTCTAATGGTTGTTTAAAGTTTTTTACGACTTTAAGCGATCTAAAAAAGCATGTTAGAACCCATACCAGGGAAAGACCTTACAAGTAAAAAAATGAAAAGAAATTTTAAATCAATATTTAATGTATTATTTTATTTAGATGTGAAGAGGATGGTTGTGGCAAAGCTTTCACAGCTAGTCACCATTTAAAAACGCATAAAAGAACACACAGCGGTGAGAGACCCTATGCTTGTGCTGAAACTGATTGTACCAGAGCTTTTACAACACCGCACAGTTTAAAATCGCACGCGAAAACCCACGCAAAGTATCAAGAAAAGGTTAACGAAAAGGAATTAAATCAGAATCAAGAAATTAGTCAAGAAGAAGGAGGTTTAAATGTTAAACGCGAGGTTGATATTGAGATTGAAGATTGCAAAGTTACGCCGGGCGATGGTACTGATGATGATTTTGGAGGTACGTTTGATTATGAGGGTGAAAGGGACGTCAATTGGGAATGTTTGGAAAGTATTGTGGAAGGTGATGAGGTTGGAAATGGTAAATATTATGGGCTTTTCTGCTTTTGTCTTGCTAGTCCATTCGATTTGATTTTGGTGGAAATAAAATTCGCTTTGGTTAGAGTGGTGGATAAGCTTGCCAGTAATTAAATTGGAATCAGAATTGGGATTGTATTGGAATCAAAATATGTTTAAATATTAAAAAATTTGTAAAAATACGTTCGTTATTGTACAAAATTTGGAAGTATGTGTAAATTTCAATTCCAGTTCCAATCATGATGTTGATTAATTTTAATTATTACGTTAATTAAATTTTTTCATTTATAACATTTTAGCTTATAATATTAAAATTAAAAGAGTGTTTGCGCTATTGCTGCTTGTTGTGTATTGTGTTTTTGATATAATCATGTATTTATTATCTTCAAATTTATTCTAAAATTATGTTAAAAATATTAAATTACATTTTTCATTTGCATATATAATTATAAAATTTCGAAATCTTATATTTCCTGTAAACTATATATAGTATAGCTATAACAATAGACTAGGTACTTAATAGAGGATTAGATACTGCTGGCAAAAGACTGGATACTGCTATCAGAGAACTAAATATTGCTTCCAGATGAGAGATACTGGTTGCAGAAGATTGTGTACTGTTGAAAAAAGGTCTAGATACTGCTAGCAGAAGACTAAATACGCCTTTAAGAAAACTAGGTACTTATTGAAGGACTAGATACTGCTGACATAAGCCTGGATGCTGCTATCAGAAGACTAAATATTGCTTTTAGATTATTAGATACTGCTTACTAGTGACTAGATACTGGTGACAGGTGGGATACTGCTTTCAGAGAACTATATATTGCTTCCAGATAAGAGATACTGGTTGCAGAAGATTGTGTACTGTTGAAAAAGGTCTAGATGCTGCTAGCAGAAGACTAAATACGCCTTTTAGAAAACTAGGTACTTAATGAAGGTCTAGATATTGCTGACATAAGACTAGATGCTGCTATCAGAGGACTAAATATTGTTTTCAGATTACTAGATACTGCTTGCAGGTGACTAGATACTGCTGACAGGTGGGATACTGCTATCAGAGAACTAAATAATGCTTCCAGATGAGTGATACTGGTTGCAAAAGATTATGTACTGTTGAAGAAGGTTTAGATACTGCTAGTAGAAGATTAAATACGCCCTTTAGAAAACTAGGTATTTAATGAAGGACTAGATACTGCTGATATAAGCCTGGATGCTGCTATCAGTGGACTAAACGTTGCTTTCAGATTACTAGATACTGCTTACAGGTGACTAGATACTGCTGACAGGTGGGATACTGCTATCAGAGAACTAAATATTGCTTCCAGATGAGAGATGCTGGTTGCAAAAGATTATGTACTATTGAAGAAGGTCTAGATACTGCTAGTAGAAGACTAAATACGCCCTTTAGAAAACTAGGTATTTAATGAAGGACTAGATACTGCTGATATAAGCCTGGATGCTGCTATCAGAGGACTAAATATTGCTTACAGATTACTAGATACTGCTTACAGATGACTTAATGACAGCAACATTAATTTTTAAATACATACAATAGTTTTAGAAAGAACAAAAAGAATTTTTGCTAACTATTCAATAAATATAAGAAATATACCCAACAAACTATATATATTTGTTATCAGAAAAAAATAATAATATTCATTACAATACTTGCCAGATTTTAGTATTAATTTTTTCATTGTTGTGGACATTGATTTTACTCCTGCAGCTTTTTGCTCATCAGATTCTTCGTTTTCAATGCGTTCTTGGTTTAGCACAGATCCCTATCTTATTGGTATGTTCTTTCCTGTGTAGATGTCGTGGAAAGTTTAAAGTCATATATTTTGTTGCAACACCAGAGGTGTTATACCTAAGGTATTTAATAGAATAATCGTAATGACGTATTCAAAGCTGTGATTCAAACAATGAATGAGAATATGATTTTTTGCTTGTTTAAAAATTTCCATTAACCTCAAAAAAAAAAAAATTAATAAAAAACTTACCTGCTTCTAACTACAGTATAAGTAGATAATAATCCCCTTATCAAAATTGAAATATTATTCTGACAAAAATCTTAATTTTTCTAGATTACAACAACCAACCAAAACAACTACATCAACCCCAAACCTTCACATCACTTAATACAATTTCACAACAAGAACACACTGATCAAGTGGATATGTTATTGTTAAACGGGAATATAGCGGAACCCGATCCGGCGATTTTTAAAGAAACTTTTGCTGCCGTTCAATCAGATCCGGCAAATTACGAAATTGCGAGCGGTTTAAAAAATTACGCTACCGTTAATACAGCGGATCCAATTCCCACCCAACTTTCCTACAATATCGGCACTGAAAACGTTGAAAATGGAAAAGACGGTGAAACGTTAAATAACACGGAAATGGAGCTTGAGGAGAATAGTATTATCACAGAAATTGAAAAGGCCGCTCGAGATTTATTAGATATCGGTCGAAATGAACCCAGCGTGACTAATTTTGATGTTGATATGTTTAATGATGTTTTTGAAACGGGTAATAATAATAATAACGATAATAATATCGATAATAATAACGTTGACGATGTTAACGATAAAAATGATAAATCGTCGAATGTAAAAATTGTTAGTATCCAAAATATTACCCCGCCCGAAAATAAATATAAGCAAGTTTATATGCCGGAAGCTCTACAAATGTCTTTGGCTTTGGAAGAAGAAGTCCCATCAACTTGGGTGGGTGGTTTAGGGATGATTAACACAAACCCAGTTTATGAAGAACCGATTTTAATGGAAAATCCATTACCGACAACAATTCAATCTTATATTAACTTAGAAACGCCTCAATCGAATTTAGCCGAATCGATCGACAAAAATTTTTATATGGATAATATTTTAAATGAAAGTAATTTTGATGCAACATCAAATATCTTAAAAGATTTAACAGCAGACGCGGATATTTGTAAATGTATCGATTGTAAGTGTGACCCATATAATAGCTGTCACGGGTGTAATCAATCTTCTTCAGACTTAACAAGAACGTCAATTCCGCAAAATGAAGAAAAAGAAACAAAATCGAAAGAATTAGAAGGTGTAAGAAAAAGAAATAACACTGCTAATGAGAACAACGGGGGTTGTGGTTGCGCTGAAAAAGCGGGATGTTGCGGGAAAACCTCAACGAAAGATGAGGAAACTGATGATTGTGCGGAAAAAGGTGATGATTGTTGTGTGGTTGTGTGCTTAAAATCAATAGAGCAACTAAAGAAAATGCTTCAGTTGGCTAAAGGTTGCAATAACTTTAAGACGCTAAGCTTGGGGTGCGTTAACAAAAAATTGTGTTCGAAATAATTTAGTAATCCAAAAAATTTATTAATTCTTTACTTGATGACTGTCTCTTTTTTGTTATTAATTTCAAATTAGTTTTATAATATCTTTTTAGAATAAGAATAATGATGTAATTTATTTATCATAACATTAATTCAAAAACTAAAACGCTCAAAATTTATCCAAATTTTATCTTTAATGAGATTCATTATTATTGCAATTAAATAGCAACAGTATTAATTTTAATTAAGGTATCAAGTATTAATTTAAAAGAAAACCATCCTAATAATGTAATAAAATTTTTTTTCTTCTTTAGCATAGGATTAAAGTTGAAAAATAACACAAAAATTTTATGATATAAATATGTACATATACAGTCAAAAAGTTAACAACATCCTAAGGAGTGTGTTGTTAACTTTTTGGTGGATATTGTATAATATGATAACTTTCTAACAAATTAATTTAGTAAATTTTTGTTTATTTTTTTAACTTTCACCCCTAATACTTTTTGTCGTTTTTCTTTCAATTCTTAGCTGCCATACTCACTTTGTTTTTTTCCCGCAAATTAATATGTACCCGATCGCCCTTTTTCAGTAATAACGTGGATATTGTAGAAAAATGTCTCTTAGTTCCTTTTGTAGATATATTCTCCTGTAGGGATTTCGACAGATATTTCTACATGCTGTGCAATGCTCAACTGGAAAGGAACGCGTTACTCTTTAACTAAATCTAATGAAAAAAAAAGTAATCAACAATTTCTAATTAATACAAAAACAAATTCAAAACACATCACAAATTTAAACATTAATTTTTGGTTTTTTTAATTTAGATTTTTTGTTAGTTCCTTATTATTTTTTTACGATTAGCGATTAAAACTTTCTCAGATCATGTGATAATTTAGCGGTTATTTAAGGGTTTGTTCCGATTTCGCTTAATTTTTAATTTTCAAATTTTTTATTAATTAAAAAAAATCAAAAAAAAAGTTACCGTTATTATTTTTTTATCAGGAATTGTAATAAAAACTGAATGTGCCTTAACTAGTCATTTTATTTGTTCGTAAGAAGTTTTATAATTGTTAAATATATATTTTTTTTTTGTATTTTTAGGAAATTTTAAGAAACAAAACGTATGAATAAAATTTACTTTATGTTATTTCTATTTTTATTCTCTTCCTACCTTGTTTTGAACCAAAATAAACACAAACGTATCCTAAATGTTGTTCTATACCTATCCACCTCTTGATATAACAAGGGGTTGAGGGTTAAAGATAAATAAACCGAGAGGGGGTGTAAACCAAAATGGTTCAACAAGCTCAAACCGAGCGTATAATGATTACTGCATGACCGAACCGGCTTGTTTGTACAGTTTGAATTCACCCACAACAAGATCAAGATGAAAAAAGTCTACAAAAAAAAAAATAATAATAAAATTTCTGGTTACTTGAATTCCTCCCTCGAATTCAACTTAAAATCGTTTGAACAGACGGCGTAAAATCACATTAATTTTCTTAGTGGTCCTACATTTGTCAAGAAACGAGGGCTCGCTGGAAAGGTGGAAGAGGTCTTTTGGCGGTGCGGCTGAGAGAAAGCATGAAGTATGTATGAGGCGCGGTTAAAACAATGAAGGCGGCCGTCGCGGAGACGGTCGGTGGCGTGAGGTTTCCGAAATGGATGGATGGATGGAACGCGAAGAATAAGAGAGGATTTCAATCAAACCAGATGAACTCATGACTTTATGCAGGAGGTGGAGGAGTTAGGCAAAATTCCCGCGCACCCGACCCTTTATTGACTGCGCGATTTTGGACGGTGGAGAATGGAAGCCGTTTCGAACGTCTGAAATTTCTTTACATCATTAGATAAATGCCGAAAAAAATTTCAAGAGGTCTATTCAGATGTGCCATCAAAATGGCTTCTCTAAATTGAGATTAATTCAAATTAGTACCTTTTAAATTAAATTATGTAGATCTCAAAGAGGAGGGATGTAGATCAACAACGATGTAAGACGATATCAAGAACTTTGTTGAAAGAAGATGAGGAATGTTTTAAAGGAGGCCAAGACAATGTTAGTGATTGGTACTCTTGCGGACCACTGAGCAACATTAAAAGATGGTTTATGTTTAGAAATGTCAAAAATAATATAGAGATATTATGGATGAAACCGTAAAATAAGAGGATATCATGGACGATGTTCGATGGTGTCAAAGACAAAGGATTTGTAGAAAACTCTTGGACAATGTAGAAGGAAAATATAGACGATTTTGAGATACTTTAGGCAATGTTGAAGAGGCCATCGATGGTATAGGAAGATATCAGCGTTAATATTTAGTAGTATAAATTTGATGTTTAGAGATGAATAAAGTCAGCAATAATGTAGGAGAATGATGTTAATCGACATCAGGGACGATGTTGGATAATGATAAAGATGCCATGGATGATGTTTAATGACATCATGGATTTGATAAGATGATGAGGAAGGTATTGAGGGAGGCCAGGATTATTTTAAGAGTTTCCAGAGTAACACAGCACTCATCAATAATATTGGAGGCTATCAGGGATTTTAATTGCTTTTCCTTTATGCTGCTAATATGGAATTTGAAAAAACATTGTTTGACTTGAACCAGGTTTTTTGAATCACCATGTTGTAAAAACTTTTTTTAAATCTCTAATTCAATTTTTGTTTTAGTTTTTTTTTGAAGTAATAAATATCGTTAAAGCTAGAAAACTCGGGGTACACAATATACATATGCAATTAGGTGCAGTGTACTTAAATTCTCTACGCTTTTCGTTTTTACCTGTGAAATAATTTTGCAATTCGTTGTTTCGGTTCGAGGATTCGGGACGAAGCGACGGCGTAAAAGGATGTTGGGGGGAAAGTAGGTGGCGGGTATGCGCATATAAATAAAGCAGTTTGGGGAGGCCGGTTGCGGTTCCGGTGGTAATCCCAATTTGTAAAAAAGCCTTTACAACCGCGGGGCACCATTATTCCGTTTTGCCCGGAACGGCAATTCGCATTCCCAGAAAGTTACACTATCTTCCCAGTTTAATTTAAACTGGGCAGTTTTCGGGCAATAAAAATGCACGCCTTCTGGCTACGAGAAAAAGCGTCTTTTTATTTATTGCCGCCCCCGACTCGGTTCCTCTTAACAACTAAGCGGCACACAAAACCCTTCCGAATTTCATTCCAGATTTTAATAGCGATCTCGGACTCCGCTTTGTTGAAATTGTGGACCTTAGATGGGGTAGATAAGGTTCCTCGGGGAAAACGGGAATTTGTTACATTCTCCCCAAAACAATTTATACACATTAACAACCGCGGGTTATTACGTTTTATTTATAACGTCTGGGTAACCCCCCTTTTAACTCACGTTCTTTATCTATAGTTGTTTTTTGTAAATCTCTTTTTAGGTCGTTTACGTAAACTGTTTCCTTTCTTAATGTCTACAAGGTTTTAATACAATTATTTATTTTTGTTTGCGCAACTTAATTTGAATTGATTTTTTGTTACAACTATTTAATTCTTGTATCCTCTTGATTAGTAAATTTGAAATGCAATTTGAATCAGAGAAACGCTATTATTGTACGTATTATTGTTGCTATTGCCGTGGGGGTTGGTTTCGGGGTTGGTTTGTTATCGCTCAATTCAGGATTTCAGTTCGGTCGGTATTTGCGCAAACGGAAAGCGCGAAGTGTGCCATGAGAAATTGGCACGTGGGACGGCCGGCGGCGCGTAATTATAAAAATAGAGGCCGAAAAGCACGACGACCGAGCATCGCTGTGTGCTCCGTGTTCGTTCATTCGCTCGCCTCTTCACGAACCGATGACTCCGGACGCCGATTACACGCCAAATTTAACCGTTGTGTTATCGCACTTGAACTTGCCACATAGAAACGTTGCCCCCTCTCGCATCCAAAACCATCATGTGCCCATTTTCACATATCCTCATGCAAATTTCGATGTAGATTCAAAAATTTTTCCCTTTTGATTTTGATTTTATTTCATTTTAGTTGCATTAAGTGTTGGGATTACGTAAAAGCTGTACTTGAAGGGGGGAAAAGACGATATATATTTTTAGATCCACCTCTTTAAAGTAACAGCTTCCGGGTTGCGACGTAACCACTCGACTTAATAAGGGTGGTGATTTATGTAACGTCGACGCGTGTGCTTGGCAATACTACTTTATTACTCCTTTTATGTTTCTCGTTTATCTCATCACTTTATGACAAAGATTTAATTTTTTTTAAGGCATTTTTTTCCTCAATTTTTGGTTTGGTTAAAGAAAATCATTTGCATTAATATTTCGGAAAAGGGACGGTGGGGTGGCTCTCTCTGTCAACTTGGGATAGTAACATATTTTCTCTTCTTCCACCCCACTAACTCCCAGCTAAAAATTATACCCGGGGCTCTTGCGGACGATGGAGGAGAGTCTCCGGTTATTACCGCTGCTCGGACGGTCGCTATCTCGCCGTTCATGCATTATGGATTAAAGCGCGGTCCTCCTCATCCTCCACAACCACCTCCTTCTCCACCGCCTCATCCTTCTCATCGTCGTCCACCTCCTTCTCCTCTTCCTTCTCATCCAACCGAACATATATGGTCAGGGTCTACCCGCAGTCCGGTAGAATCGTTTTTCGACCCTACTCTTACTATATTTTCTTTTACTCAAAAAAGAAACAGTTTTCGGACTTTAACCCCAAGAAAAACAATTTAATTAGAAACCAAAATCTCTCTCCTTCTCTAGTAAGTATTTCTTTTAATAGGTGAAGTGAGGCGATTCTAACAACTAAGTATTCGGGTTAGGATGAAGAGTAGCGAGTGCGTTTTACGAGAATATTATTCATGTCGCGGGGGGAATCAGTATGCCGATATGGAAGAAGTGGGGTGTCGGGTGCGCATAAGGAAAAACAATTCGAAAATAGCCGGGGGTCGGTGGCAATAAACGGCCACTAAACAGAAATGTAAATGAAATGGTCATCGGAGGCCTCCGAGATAAAACCTATGGCTCTATCGAGGCCGCAAATTGAATAATAAAATTATACGGTACCCGCGGCACAA